ACATACCTGTAGGGGCAAGTGGCCGGGGCACGGATAAAGGATCTTGGAGTCCTCAGTAGATTTGACGGGCCTTTAGCTGAAGCAGGGTCCAGATAGACAGGCAGACCAGCGGGCAGGGAGGCGGGCAGCAGCCAATCCCCCCAGCTCCCTGCGATCTCCGCTCTCCCTCTCTGGCCTCTCTCTCTGGCAATCCCTTAGTGGTTCCTCCAAGTGTCCGTGTTTGTAAGCGCGCATGCCCTGTGCTCCCCGGCTCTCCGCCCAGGTGTCCACAGTCACCAGCGTGCAAGCTCTCCGAGCTCGCGCTCCCAAGCGTCCTTTGCAATAACATGTTATATCACGCGTGGGCACCCCAACCTGGGAGGACAGCCAGTGGTGGCCATAGAGACTCACCGCGGGAAGGGGGAAAGCCTGACTTATTCCATTTTTTTTTTTTTAGATTTATTTATTTATACAAGCACTGGGTACAGTCAGAAGCACGGGAGGGTGAGAGAATTCACCAGAGCCAGAGTGGGAAGCAGAGCAGGCAGACTGACGAAGTACACTGCTGAGGGGAGCAGCAGGTGAGCCAGGAGAGGTCTGCATGCCATGTGGAACCCTCGCTGGCGGCCAGGGATCGAACAGGCACTGCAGAGGCTGCAGGCAGCTTAACCACTGCGCCAGCAGGGGAGGCCCCCGGATTTATTCCATTTTCCCTACAACACCTTAACTGAAAAAATACATAGTGCTAAAAAATGCCAGTCCTCTGTGGTGGGGGTGTGGCCTCCATGTTGACGGCTGCTGGCTCATCGGGATGTTTATTTACTCTTCCTTCCACGAGAGCTTCCTCTGCAGCCTGTGTTGTTGTCTGATAGTGTTGTAGCCACATCTTTTGAAATTGGAGTCAGTCCTCTGAGGCCCTGCCACTGCCTTATCTTCTGTGATAGTCTAAACACTTTGCTGTGCTTTCCACCATGCTCACAGCATCCTCACCAGGAGTGGATTCTGTCTCAAGAAACCATTTTCTTTGTTTTTTCTTAAGAAGCACCTCCTCACCCGTTCAAGTTCAGTCCTCTTCAGCCACATCTCCAGCCCCGTTCTAATTCTAGTTCTCTTGCTGTTCCACCACATCTGCAGTGACTTCCTCCCCTGACCTTGTGAACCCTTCAAATTCATCCATGAGGGTTGGAACCCACTTCTTCCAAACTCCTGTTAATGTTGATGTTTTGACCTCCCATGAACCACAAATGTTCTTGGTGGCAGCCAGAATGGCAAATCCTTTTCAATTGACTTTGCCCAGCTCCATCAGTGGAATCATTCCCCATGGCAAGTGTATTTCTCAAATAATAAGAAAGTCAAAATGAAAAAAAAAAAATAAAGTCAGAATGACTCCTTGATCTCCATGAAGAATGGATGTTGTGTTCACAGGCATGAAAACAACATTAATCTTCTACGTCTCCATGAGAGCACTTGGGTATCCAGGTGCATCGTCATTAGCAGTACTGTTTTGAGAGGAATCTTTTACTCTCAGCCGTGGGGCTCAACAGTGGGCTTAACATAGTCCACGAATTATGTTGTAAACAGATGTGCTGTCGTCCAGGCTTTGTTGTCCCACTCAGAGAGCACAGGCAGAGTAGGTTTAGCTTCATTCTTAAGGGCCCTAGAATTTCGGGAAGGTAAACGGGCACTGGTTCCAACTTAGAGCGCATTAGCCCCTAACAAGAGCCAGCCTGTCCTTTGAGCTCGGACACCAGCCATTGATGGCTCCTCGCTATCAAAGTCTGATGGCCTCTTCATCAGGCTGCTCCGTCTGCACTGAAAACCTGTCATGCAGTGCGGCCCCCTCCCCCAGAGACCTCAGAGCTGCTGCAGCTTCTCCGCCAGCACTTGCTGCCCGACCTGGCACTGTTGTGTATGGGGAGGGCTCTTCCCTCAAACCTCGAGAACCAGCCTCTGCTACCTTCCCGTCTCTCTTGGCCCTCCCAGAATTAGAGTTAGGACCTTGCTCTGGCTTCAGCTCTGGCTTAAGGGGATGTTGCGGCTGGCTTGATCTTCAGTCCAGGCCACTAAAACCAGCTCAGCAATAAGCCCGTTTCGCTTTCTTATCTTCCTGTGAGCTCTGGAGGAGCGCTTTCCATTTCCTTCAGGAACTTTCCCTGCGCACTCCCAGCTTGGCTGACTGGCTCCCGCGGCCTGGCTATCGGCCCTCTCGGCTTTCCACCTGCTTTCCTCACTCAGCTTAATCATTTCCAGCTTTGATTTAAAGTCACAGACACGTGACTCTCACTGGAACATGAGGGGCCATTGTAGAGTTATCAGTACTGTGTCCCATAGGGAAGTCCAGGAGAGGAGAGATGGGGCAGGCAGAACAGGCACATCTATAAGGGTACAGTTCATGGCACCCCAAAACAGTTATGATGGTACCACCAAAGCCCATCAATCACAGACCACCAGAACAGATACAAGTATCCTGAAGAAGCTTGAATTGCCATGAGAACGACCGGAATGTCACCCCGGCACACGATGTGAGCACCTGCTGTTGGAAGAAAGGGCACCGGTAGGGGTGCTGGAGGCAGGGCCGCCACAGACCTTCCGTGTGAACAGCGCGGTGTCTGTGAAGGGCACCCAAGCCAGCGTGCCTGCGCTGCCCTCTGCCGGCCGTCACCCCTCGCACCCCCACTGAGCTCCCAAACCGCACCTGGGCCGGCTGGGGACAGAGGCCTTGACTGGTCCTCTCCAAAGACAGTGCTTCCTGCACACCTTTCTCCCTGGTTGCCAGGTTGATTGTCATGTGGAGAAAACAGTGAAGCACCCAGGAGGCTGCCTCAGGGGGGAGGGGGCTAAAGTGATCCTCACCTACTATGCGTGACCCAGAACGCGCCACGTAGCCTACCTGGAGGGTGGCCACCCCACGGGGAAAGAATCCTCTCTCAAAACAAAAGACGAGGGCCTCCCTGGTGATGCAAGGGGTTATGAGGCTGTCCACAGCCACTGCAACACAAGTTCGATCCCCCAGCCAGCCAGGGAGCAACCCAGATGGCGCAGCAGACCTCTCCTGGCTCACCCGCTGCTCCCCTCAGCAGTGTATTTCAGTCAGTCTGCCTGTTCTGCTCCCCACTCTGTCTCTGGTGAATCCTCTCACCCGCACCCCCCCCCGCCACACACACACACACACACACACACACACACACACCTCTGGCCTGTACACCCAGTGCTTGTATGCATAAACAAATAAATCTTAAAAAAAAAAAAAGACGAGCCAGCTAAGGGTGACAAGTGTGAGGACCAAGGGGGAGGAGGTCAGGGAGGCCGTGGCCAGCCAGGCTTCGAAATGGGTGACTATGCTTCCAGCTCACCACCACCCTGCCTTGATTTGGCTGCACGCTGGACTCGTCTTAGTTCAAGGCCGTGGGCAATACCCCTTGACAACAGCTTTTCACTTGGCTGCGTCCTGGCACCTAGCAGTTAGTTGCTCAGGGCAACCGGCTTGGGGCTGCTGCATTACCACCGCTGGCCACGGGGGGTCCCAGCACTCCAGGGCTGCAGGGTGGCCCCAGCACTGCAGTGACAGCCAGTGGGGCAGAGCGAGTGCCCTGCCCGGCCCGAAGAGCGCTGCTGGACAGGACGGGACCGGTGGCCCCAGGTCGACAGCCCTGGGCTCCGTGGGAGCAGTGATTCCCCCGTGCGATCACCGCTTGGGGGTGTTACTGCAAGGTCCCAGCGACCAGCAGCCTCCCGTGAGGCCTGGATCCTAGTCCTGCTCTCGCCTCGCTTCCCTGGTGACCGTGGGCAGGCCCCATCACCTCCAAGCAAGACTCATCCGTCAAGGGGGAGGATTTAAATAAAGACTCATTCTCTCCAGCCTTGCCAGCAACATCAGCACCTGAAATGGCCCTCACGTCAGGAGCAGCTGAGTCATCCTTGCTTTCAGCACAAACTGCCAGCTTAGTGAAGTTCTCAATCCCTCCACCAGATTATCATCTCCCTGGAAGCAAAAGGAATGAAATCAGAATTCTGTGCCACAGAATGTTTTCAGACCAGAGCCTGTGGCGCCCACAGATTGCTTGGTACCATAGAGGTTCTCAAAGTCTTATTAGCCTGGAACCTTTCATTCAAACCCTGGCATCAACACCCAAACAGAAAACAGTGAGACGTGCTCTGGTTAGAAACTGGAGCCCGGAGAGGCAGCTGCCTGGCCATGTCACTCGGCAAGGGAGTGGCAGAGCCCAGCAGGACTATCCTTCCTGGACACCCTCCCCAGAATGACCCTGAGCCTGAGCCTCCCAACATGTGCAGGAACTCGGAGTGTAAGAAAGAGCTGCATGTGGAGAGTGGGGGGCTCACGGCTCCCACCGTGCCTCCGCGGGGCCTCACAAAGGCCCTCAGGACCAGCGTCATCATCCTGCTCTGAACTGCTGCCTCCCAGGCTGCAGACAGAAAAAAGAAACTCCTGTTCTGTGCTTTGTATAGCCCAACCTGAAATCTTCCTGAACCCCTGGGTAGTGAAATGGTCCATGCACTCCGCGCCCCTGGGACCCGTATCTCCCCTTCCCACCACGCGGCACAGACCTCAGGGCGCTGTTGCAGAGGGAAGCTGCTGTGTCATCTGCCCAGCGTGTGCCAGGGCCTGGGGGCCGTCAGCCCTTTCTAAGTCATGGCCAGTTGTGAGCTTGGTGGAAATGGACCTGGGCCCAAACCCAAACTGCACCAGGGACTAGCTGGGGCTTGGCTTTCCCCAGACTCCTAAAACGGGGATGGTGGTGCTTTGCAGAACTAGCTCAGACACGCAGGGGTTTGCCCCAGGGCCTGGAATCAGTAAGTGGAAGTTCCCATTACTTCCCATTACTCTGGGGGGGGGGGTGCACGCACGCATATGCATGAACAGGTATGTTTGCACATGAGTTTGAATGTGTATTTGCATGTGTGTGTGCATTTATGTGACATCCATCTCCACTGCCGTTAGAGTCCCTTCCAGGACCTGCTGTGACGGCGTCACTGACAGTCTCTCCCGGATCTCTCCCCAGATTGCCAAGGGATCATCGAGGACGTGGTCCTGCTAGGTGCGCCCGTGGAGGGAGACGCCAAGCACTGGGAGCCTTTCCGGAAGGTGGTGTCTGGAAGGATCATCAATGGCTACAGCAGGTCTGTCCACAGCTCGTGCCCGTGGGGAGGGGACAAGCACACTGGGCAGCTACTGTGCCTGGGTTTGTGCTGGGGACATGACGTGTGAGGCCCAGCCTCTGTCCTGGAGGATCTCAGGCCCAGTTGAGAATAAGGCCAGGCCGGGTGTACAGGCCCCAGAAGCATCCAACCCTGTAGGACGACTGACAGGGTGTCAGAACTGAGGGGAGCTTATAGGGGAGCCCCGGCCGGCGGCCACGATCAGAGAGTGAATGGGACATAGGACTGAAAAACAGAATGGCCCCCCAGGGGTATCTCAGCATGCCAACTAAGGGATTCACCTAGTCCATATTTGGCAGTGCAGGAAAGGACTTTGTGGGCATCTAGGCCGAGCTTTCAGAGCACTGTTTAGGGGTGGGGCAGGTGAGAAAATCAGAAGCTGACAGCACTGTGGGGTGGGAGCCAATCCCCCAGCTATGACACAAACCCTCCAGGAAGAGGTGGGGCCTGCAAGGGTGGGTACTGTGGAGCTGGGAGGGACACATTCTTTGAGGTTTGAGAAGGAGGATTTGAGGGGTTTCAACCAAGGCTGTACCCCAGCTCTGAAGAAGAAAGGAGATGAAGCCCACCCCTGAGCCTGGGAAGCTGCCTGGCCCCCAGTTTGGAGTTTAAGAAACAGTAAAGGTGGGTGACTTGTGGTAAGGGGCAAAGGAAGAAGAAATGACTGCCTCTTGGTGGGCACCACTAACACAGCCAAAAAATAATCAAGCAAATAAAGGAGTAAGACCTGCCAGGGACGCAGCAGATTCAGTGCTTATGAGCAAGAAGGCCCCAGCAGGCAGCTAGAACGCAGAGAGATCAGAACTGCAGCGAGAGCCAGCAGGGTCCAGCCACAGCAGAAACCACAGGGGCAGGTGAGATCATTTGAAAGATCAATAAGAAAAATCTAATAAGAAAATGGCCAAAGGATATCTATATGTAAACTCACAGAATAAATTCAAATAGTCACTAAGCTTCAGAAAAGATTCCCACCTCATTAATTAAATAAATGCAGATTAAAATCAACAAGAGTCTGTTTCTCACCCATCAAATTAGCACATTTGAATCATGAATAACATTCAGTGTTGGTAAAGACGTGAAGAAATGGGCACTGCCATACACTGTTGGTGGCAATTGAATTTAATCCATCCATTCTGGAGGGCAATTGACAGCATCCATCAAAACTTTTTAATGCACCAGTTTTCTATTCCCACAGATTTTGACTACTAAGCTCCTGCTGTGCTGGACACACTCACATGCACGGGTGACCAAAAGGGATCATTGCAGCCTCGTTTAGAATTAAATGTTTAAAACAACTCAAATGGCCATAAACAGAAATAGTTAAGGGGAAAAAAGAAAAAGCAAGGGCCACGTACCTGCTGTGAACCCTGTATGTGAAGGGAGAAAGGCGGGCCCAGGTGCCTCCATTAAATGTATGTGTCCGCAAATGCACAGGGAAATCTAGAAGGACATGAGGCGCTGACCACAGTGGCTACCTGTAAGGGCAGGACAGGACACAGTGCAGGTTTTCTAGGATCCCATGCAGACCGGGTAAAGGAGGAATCAGAGCCCTCAGTGGTTTTGCAGGTCTTTTATTGGGATTACCAGGTACATGGCAGGCAGGGGTGCTGGGGGGCCGGGAGGCTGGCAGGCCTCCCAACTCCCAGCAGGTCTTCACTCTGGGCTCTCCGGCCTTCTCTCGACTTCTGCTTCTCTTGCTTCTCTCTCGGCTTCTCTTTTGGCTTCTGCTGGCGTCCCCATGACGCCGCCCTTAAAAGCCCAGTCTCAGCCCAGGTAAATCCCATCTACCTAGGCCCACACCCTCCTCCAGGTGTCCGCCATCAGGCATGCATTCAGGACTGCAGGGATCCATCATCTATCCTGATGGCAGGAGGGCAGAAAAGCCTGACATTTTTCCTTACCCTACACCACCCCTAAGGAGTGGACAGAGAGTAGAAGTAGGGCATAAAGGAGACTTGAATTTGATTGTTTGAAAGTAACAATAGCTTAAAAAAAAACAGACTAAGAATGGACAAGACTCTTGTTAAAATCTTGCCTCTGACATTGACCCAGTGGAGGACTTTAGACAGAAAATTCTGGATCTCAATATCCCCACCTGTAAAATGGGAATAATAGCCCCTCCTGCACAGGAATTCTGGGGGGAAATGAAGCAAGATTCTGTAGGAAAAGGGCTGGCACTTAGTAGGTGCCCATAACCAACGCAGCTATAATGATCATGACGGACATACTCGCCTAGCACCTGACTTGGGGTGCTTTAATAAATGGCAAAGGGAAAGAATTAAAATTGCATGTGTGCAATATGAAAGCAGCAAAATCTTATTAAATCCATCTGTTCTGTTGAGAACCTGAGGCTAATAAGCTTGTTTTTCAATTATTTTGTGAGATCCTGGGCCTCGCTCGAGAGAAAGAAAAGGGAGGAGGAGGAAGACGGGGAAGAACGTACGGACCAGAACAGTAACTGTAGTTTCCACCAACCAGAAATTCATGTTCCTTGTCCCGCAGGCCTGGTCACTGCCCTGAACCTATTTAAATGGAGAGACAGGGTGGAGTGACGGGGGCGGGGAGCCTCGGCCCAACGCTACCGAACTACATACATTTGTAAATTACTGTAATTATTATCTGTGCTTCACTGCAGCTCTCTGCAAATCCACTCGCTTACCGGGGCTTCCACAAGCCCCCCGGAAGCGAGCCAGGCAGGGGCACCATGCCCCGTTGTGCCATCAGGAAACAAGCTCACAGAGGGTCAGGCGCTGCCCCAGGGCCACACCGCAGGGCAGGATCTGAGTCCCTGTGGTGAGAGGGTTTCATCCTCAGCCCCCTGGGCCTCTGCTCAGGTACCACGGGGAGGGGGCGATGGTGGGAGAAGGAGCAGCGAGGTCACCGCCCACAGGTGGCTGAAGGCCTTTCAGGAGCCCCCTTACACCCTTCAACAGGCCTCTCGGTGTGGAATCAAGGGCTCAGGGGTGCGCCCTGATGGGGGTGACGGCCACACCTGTGTGAGTGTTCACCTGGTGTCACTGTTCACTCTCACCGCCACCCGCCACCCCAGGCGCTAAGATGAGTGAGGAGATTGAGGCTCAGAGGGGGTCAAGCCACCTTCCCGAGGTTGCCAGCTGCTGACGAACGAGGCTGGACTGGCTCTGTGTGGTCCGAGCGTGGGCCATAGCCCTCCCCCGTGGGAGAGGCACATGCCAGAGGAGGGTTTTCCATGCCAGTGAAGTCCCCTCGGTCTCCTGTGCGTGGCAAAGACACAGAACCTTCTAACATATGCTCCTTCTGTCCCTAAGTGTGTATAAGTGAATGCAATTAACACTGTCAGTAGCGTGTGGCCATAATCGTGACAAATCATTTTGAAGGTCTGATGCTGACTCTGCTCGTGCACAACATCCGTCAGCAACAACCACAGGCCACGCTCCTGCCCTGTATTGGGGTTAGCTCGTAAAGCAACCGAGCGAATGTCCCTTCTCCCCTTAGCCTTGCTTCTAAGACACAATGCTTCTGGGGCCGCAATATGGGTTAATCACTGGAACTTGCAAACATTGCTCTCTGGAGACAGTTAAGGAATTTTCTAGAAGAGAAAGCCTATAGATGGTGAGTCATGGCAGCTTCTAAGTGGGAGGCTGTGGTCATAGGAGTGTTTAAAGGTCTCAGTGGCTCAAGGGAGATGAGTCCCCAGGGGGAGAAGGGAGGAGGCCATGCATGTGGATACGGGGTACCTGGGGGCTGCCTGACTGCAGGGCTGGAGCAGAGGGAGGCAGGTGTTGGGGGCAGGGGTAGTAAGAATCAGCAGAACTCTGGGGAGCAGGGTGCCTCAGCATCACACTGGGGTTTCTGCTTAGTCTTTGACAGTGGAGAAGGAGCCAGGGGCCGATGAGCTCAGTTTGGGACACAGCAGAAGGGTCTAGAGAGGGCCCCTCAACTCTGGGCCCCAGCCTTCCAGGGGTTCCCGGAGTAGTAACCACACAGGCGCCCCTGTGGCCAGAGACCACCACACCCTGGGTCCCAGACAGCTGGGGACACTCACCTGGGGCCACACAGCAGGCCACAGAGGCAGGGTGGGGACCGCACCTCTCAGCCCACTCCCCTCTACGCTGAGGTAGGAGAGGGCCCTTCTTTCAAGCAAGCCCACAAATGCAATGAACTGAAGTTACCCCATGAGCCAGAGTTGCAATTAGCCTAATTATAGGGACCGGGGTTCATAGCACCCAGGAAAGTGGAGGAGTGTCCGAGAGCTGTGGCTGGCTGGCATGGCCCCTGTCGCCCCCTCTGAGGTGCCGAGGGCAGTGCGACTACAGGAGGGCCGTCTGAGCGCCAGGAGGGTGGGAGCAGGCCCAGAGGCCCGCCACACCACACTGCACCTCCAGCCCCAGGCCCTGCCCTCCAGGTGGACCCCTGCGGCTTCCTTCCTCCTCCCAGGGGCCCAGTGACGGCAGGGAGCGGTTCCCTGGGGCCACATCAGTGCTCCGACCCCATTTATTCCACAAGCATCTGTCCAGCCTGCCAGGCTCTGTCCTCAGCTCTGGGGGCCCAGCAGGGAGCGAAGCGAAGTCTTCACGGCGCTCCCTTGGCCCCGGCAGGCCTCCCACAGCATCACACACCCCCGTCATCCTTCTCAAAGAAGCGCCCACCCGCCGGGCTTCCCGGAACCAGGTAGGTCCAGCCTGGGGACTCTCCTGAGGCTTCCTTCCTCCTCCACCCGCAGGGGCGACTGGCTGCTGAGCTTTGTGTACCGCACGTCCTCCGTGCAGCTGCACGTGGCCGGCCTGCAGCCCGTGATGCTGCAGGACAGGAGGGTGGAGAACGTGGACCTGTCCTCCGTTGTGAGTATCGCTGTCCCTGAGGCTCTGCCTTTGCCAGGGGCACTGCCTCACCCCCGCCCAGCCACCCAGGGGCTGGGGACTCTGGCCCAGGCCCCCTCTGCCCCACAGGAGTGAGATCCTTAAGGATTTGCTTAGGAAACCGACACCTTCTGTGTCCAGCTCTGCCCCCAGCCTTGTACAGGCATCAGCGTCCCCAGTGTACAGAGGGGCCTCCTGAGGCCCAGAGAGGCTAAACCACATGCCGAGGGCCACACAGCAAGAGCACAACAGAACAAGACTCAAGCCCAGGTCTGGGTCAGTGTGAGGCACAGCGAGGGGGGCGGCTCCCCGGAAGAGAGGGAGATAAGCTGTAGTTACAGCCGTGGCTCAGTCCATGAAAGTCCCTTGGCTGCAAGGGACCCCTCTGTCAAATGCCCAGAGCTTCCCCAGAGTCACCCAGTCTCCCCAGTTCCACACCGCCCTGTTCTTCTGAGAAGCAGACAGACTGCACCCTCCCTGAGCACCTGCAACCCCCTGTGGGGATTGTTCCCCTAGAGGGCTTGCTGCTTCCTTCAGCACCCTCCCCAAACTGTCCCCGCTCTGCAGCCCCCCAACCTTGCAGGTGGGTGAAGCCGGGCACCGCTAACACTGGGCTACGTGCTTACTGACGGAGGGTTGCAAGAGAGCCCAGAGGATGCTAGCACAAAGATCTTCAAACTGAAACTCTCCAGCACTGCTGCCCCTGCAGCTCATCGGCTGTGTCCTGGGCTGGGGTCCCCGAGCCCTCACCTGGCCTGCCCTCCTGTTACTGGGGCCACCTTGTCGTCATTTCTGTCTTCTCCCCCAAACCCCAGGGACCGAGAACACAGGTCCTGACCCAGCAGCGGCGCACAGCTGAGGCCTCTGCGCCTTCCCGCCTGGCAGCTTGGGGCTGAGGCTGGCCCCCCGGGAAAGAGCAGCTTCTAGACTCCTCCACAGGGCCTCCCCTGGTGGCGCAGCGGTTGAGCGCTGGGTTGCGAGGCCGCCTGCAGCCTCTGCAGCGCCAGTTTGATCCCCGGCCACTGGCAAGGGTCCCACCAAAAAAAAAAAAAAAGTAGACTCCTCCACACCTGAGGTCACAGCCCTGGAACAGACGGACTGTCCGGGATGGAGACGAGCTCCGCCCCGGAGGCAAAGGAGCCGCCTCGCTTCAGGTGGCAGAAACCTCACAGCAGCCCCACAGAGTCCATAGTACCCCCAGGCCACAGACTGGACAACCGAGACTTGAAAGAGTGGATGACTATGGTCAGAGGCGCGGGCAGGGCTCCAAACCAGGCCCCAGGCCGGGCTGTCACGTCCTGTGGAAGTGAGAGCACTCAGAGCCGGCCTCCCAGCCCGAGTCAGGAATCTCCACACTATTATTTGGGGTGCCGGCACCTTTGTGTCTCACCACCCTCAGAGTCTCCCTCTTCTAGAAGAATCAAATGTGAAAAGGAACAGCTGACCGTTCCCTTCAAAGGCCATGAGCCCGCTGGACGGTTTCTGCCCTGGAAGCCGGAGACGGTGGGAAGAATGCAGCCTCGGGCGCCAGCAAGGCCCAGCGTAGAATCTGGGCTCTGCCGCTGGCATCTCAGCTGTGTGACACTGGATCAGTTACTGACCTCTCTGTGCCTCCGTTTCCTGTGAAATGGAGGAAATCGCCCACCTTTTCGGGCAGCACATGTGACTGCTTGGCACACAGTAGGCCCTCACATAATACTAGTTTCCTCCGCTCCGGCCACCATCTTCCATTCTTTTGCCTCTGGAACCAGCATCTTCAGAGTTGGCTCCCTCACGCTGTCTTGGTGGCAGCATCCCAGCTTTGCCTAATAATAGCTCTTTATCCTATTAGGAGCACATCACAGAAAGCAATGCTTTCCTCTTCTGGGTAATTAGAGGTAATTAGCACTGCCTTTGTGCTACCCTCCTGTTTTCCTTGAAAATTCCTGCAGGAGGAGAGACATAGCTAGCGAGTTCCTATTAGCATTTGGAGGCACTGGCCAGGAGGCTGGGGAGAGGCCTGCAGGATCCACCCTCGCCCGCTGTAGCCATGTGCCCAGGGCCCGCTGTGAATTGCCCCAGACATCGGTCACATGGCCCTGCACGTGTTCAGAGGCGGCTGAGCTGGAGTGAGCAGGTCTGGCCCTGTTGCGGGCTGGGGGCATCTCTGCGTGATTGAGGCAGGCAGAGGCCAGGTTGCCTCCCGCCTTCCGGTCCCGAGTGGTTTTGCCACCAGTAGACAGGGATTCTGCCTCCCCAGAGGCAGCCCCGAACAAGACGCTTCGTGTCCCGGATGAAGCACTGGCTCTAGCTGGCTTCTAGAACAAACAGAGTTTGGCACAAAACAAACAACAGTACTAATAATAACCAACATGTGTTGGACACTGCACTACACACTTTGCAGCTACTGTGTCATTTGGTCCTCAGTGACCCTGTGTTCTCTGTCCATTGTACAGATGTGGAAACTGAGGCTGCAAGAGGGGATGCAGCATGTGAGCAGTAGAGGCAGGTGAACCTGGGGAACTTAACTGGGCTCTTCACCACTGGGCTGGGTGGTGCCTACATGCACACAGCTCTGTGGCTTCCAATCAGCAGCCCCTGACTTTTGGCAGTGAGCCTCCTTATGTGTTATCTCGCTGAACCCTCACAGCTGGCCCACGTGGTGCAGTTGTCTCTAGTGGCCCCATTTGACAGATGAGGAAGCTGAGACCCAAGAGGTGGCAGAGCCCGAGGGGGGCTGGCTCATGAGCTTGGAAGTTGTTGGGCACGCAGAAGTGGGTGCAGTAGCCTATTTGGGCAAGCCTGGGTGTCCCGCAAGGCAGGAAACGGCAGTGCTGGGACCTGTTCATAAGTGTGGCAACCGAGGCTGTGCACCCACTGTGTGCAGGGCCGGCCATGGGCAGCAGGGGTGAGTGAGAAGAGGTCCCTGTGCTCCTGCACTCCCAGTCTCTCAGAGGACAAAACCAGGGAGCAGATGAAGCTGCTGTCCCAGGAGGGGCCTACTGGCCTGGGAAGGTGAAGCAAGACTTGTCAGCCCAATTTCATCCAGCACCTATCACGGCAGCGGGCAGATTTCAGTCAAAGCAGCCAGGGAGATAATCATGGGCTAAAGTCTTTCTCCAACTTCCGCCACTCCAGAACTTTCCATGGCTAGAAGGGATTTCCCCCTAGCCATCTCCCCACTGTTCTCTCATGTCTCTGACTAACTATCAAATTGGCACTCAGTCAGCAGGTTGTCCCTCTGGGTCTTGGCAGAATGACAGCTCAGGAACTAGGGTTGACTGAGACCTGGATCTACCTGTAGCCGAGAAGGACCAGTGCTGTACATTCTAGAAATGCCCTTGGGTGAAATTTCCATCCAGAATCATCCATAAACACCTCCCTCCCTCCCTGGCTCCACCCAGCCCTACCACCAGCCCTTTACTAACATCAGGAACATGGAGGGAGGTAGTTCTTGTTTGTCCCTGTGGATCTGGGTTTCTGCTGACTGGAATTCAGGCGCGATGGCTAGAGCTTGAGCAGCCATATTGGCCTCGCAGATGAATCAGCCCAGCTAGCTCCCTACCCTCTAGCCAACCCTTCCAAGGAAATGAAGGTAAAGGTACTCATATGTATGGAGCACCTACTATGTGCCAGCCACTGTGCCTTATGTATGGCTTGTATGTTATTCTTCCTGCCAACCCCATGAATAGGGGTCACCAATTCTAATTAGGTAAGGTCCCTGAGAAGTGTTCTGGCTCATGTATGGAACATAACAGTGAGAGAGAGTACTCAGTTCCACAAAGTGCCAGGCCCTTGAATCCTGCAGCAGACACTCAATGTCATTGTCACGATCCACAATTTACAAATGGGGGAGCTGGGCTTCAGGACACTGTAAGGACTTGCCCAGTTGCTAGGAAAGGACAAAGCCCAGGCTGCACCCCCTGTTTGGGGGTCTTTCTGGTGCTATGCAGCCACTAATGTCCACCCTGCAGTCAGCCGCTTGGCCCACCTGACCTCCACCCTGAACCCAGGAATCTGAAAAGCCCCTAATATGCATGAATATCTGTGTATTGCCAGCTGTTTAAAAACATTTCTAAAGAAAGGAACAAGAAGTAGGCAGGTTCTGGCTATGAGAAAATGACAAAACTGTGCAGGGAGCTGTCTTTGTGTTCTTGAGAAATCATTTGAATAACCCAGCGTGATTTGTGATTCAAATGGAAATGCAGATGTTGCCAGCTGGCCTTGGAGCTGCTGTCTGAGCTCCTTACACCAGCCTCCCCAGTGTTTTCCTGTCTTCTTTTTAAACAAAACCCTTCCTCTTCAGTCTTGAATGAATGTTCTGTCTCGAGTTTGCCTTTAGCAGTAAAGCAGGCCCCCAGGACTGGCTGGGGCTAGCGGAGGCTCCATCTCAAGGAGCAGATCTGAGCTAAAGCAATGCCTCAAGCACACCACCCACTGTGTGTCATTAAGTAAACCACCACCCCTCACTTTCCTCCTCTGTAAAGTGAGAATCCCAGCGCTGAGGCTTTCTGGCTGTATGGTCTTGCAAGTCACTTTCCCTCCCTGTGCCTCAATTTTCTTCATCTACAATTAGCAGCCAACACCAATGAAAGGGGTATATACAATAAGCTTGTTTTCTACAAGTTATTAAGGACCTACTGTGTGTTAGGCATTCCAACCCCTACTTTTCACTCACTAATACATCCCAACACAAAAATGGAGGTGTCTCTAGTCTCTGAGGAAGAGTGTGCACTTCTGGATTCTTGGCGCTCGTCTTAATTAAAATTCAGATCCATATAACAGAGAGCCAGCTGAAATGACTTAAACACACAAGAGTTGATGCTGTCATTATAAGAATAGTCCAGAACAGCAATTCAAGGCTGGTACCATGGAGCCAGTCTTCAGGACTCAAAATGCTCTGTCTTGCTGCCATCTTTATTGGGTCAACACATGGCGCAGTATTGCTGCCAAAACTCCAGCCATCACCTCTGAATTCCATGTAACCCTACTGCTTCATCTCATTGGACAAAACTTGCCACAATATTACGCTTAGCTATAAGGGAGGGGATGGGGTGGGCTGGAGAATGTTCTGGTAAATTGGAGTTCTTCTGATGGAGGCAGCGGGGAGAGTGAGTTGTGGAAGTTGCCAGGCATTCTGTGCAGTAGCTCTGGTTTCAGTTTGAAGGCTACACTCGCTGCCTCATTTACAGTGGCAGACAGAGGAATAAGGGGTTTGCCTAAGTTCCCACAGCTGGTGAGCAGCAGCACCCCTCATCCCCATCATAGCCTAAAACAGCAGACAGGGAATGAGAACTTCCGAACTTCCACTCCAGCTTCTCTCAGGAGATTCCTTCCTTCCCCCAGAGGACCCAGATTTTGTAGACAAACTCCCTTCATCTTTATTTGATAAATTCTGGAGCAGCCCTGACCCACCTTCTCTGGCCTGAGAGTTGGAGCTGGAACTGGCGCTTGGTTGGCTCAGGGTGCTGAGACTGAGGGTGGAGTCCAGGAGCCCAGCTTGGCGTCTGGGGGAGGGCTGGGCTCTGTCCTCACTGTGGTCCTCACTCACTGTCCTCCTGCAGGTCAGTGGCCACTTAGACTATGCCAAGCAGATGGATGTCATCCTGAAGTCCATAGGCATCCGCACCAAGCCAGGCTGGGATGAGAAGGGACTCTTGTTGGCCCCCAGCAGCCTGCCCCAAGAGGAACCTCACCAAACAGCAGCCACCTCCTCATCAGATAAGATCACCCACCAGGACGCGCAAACCCTGGGTCCCGCACCTGGAGATACTCCTCAAATGGATACATCTACTGAAGCCAGCCAAGCTCAGGTGCCAACGGGGCTGGGCCAACCTGAAGGGGCCTCCCTTCCTGCTGCTGCCAGCCCCAGCGAGAGCCCCCAGATCTGCAGCCATGGCATAGGCACCAACCCCTTGGGCTGCCCCGACTGTACCAGCCAGGCCCAAGGACGCTGCACAGAGCAGGACTGACCCCAGAGGGGACTTGAACCATTCCCAGATTTCTATCTGCAGAGCTCCCGCCCCTCCAGCAGGCTCCCCATGTGAGCCCCGGAGGTACAGGATTCCCATCAGTGCCTTTCCCACCAGTTGAAAGCACTGGGGCTGAAAAGAAAGGACTTGGAAGGAGAGGCGATGGCAGGGAGACGGTGTTTCCTCCTGTGGGCAACAAGGTCAGAGCCCTGCACAGTCAGCCAAGCACAGTTTAGAGCCCCGATATGCTAAGCCAACCTTTGGGCTTCCTGTACTTAAGGTCACAACTGCGGGGTCTGGCTGTCCATCAGGAGAGCCAAGGGCGCTGAGGTCCCACCCCAGCACTCTCTCTGCCTTTCTCTGCCGGTGGCATCAGCAAAGCAGGTGTCTGACTGCTCCTCCACACTCCAGGGCTGCCCACCAACCCTCAGACACCACTGAGGCACCCCAGAGCTGGTGCAGCAGGGAGTGGGGAGCTCACTCTGCTGTTGGGAGAGAGAGCCAGTCAGGTCTGCCACATGCAGCCACACAGGCTGTGCGCTGCACAACCACGGGGCACCGGGCATGTGGACACAATGTAAATGGCCCTGCCCAACTGTGTTACACGGTGTCCGCAGGCATAATTGTAACAGCGGAGTGAATAAATGCTGAATAAGCATGAGGTGTGGGCGGGACTGGGCTTGGTGACAAGACTGAATTATACCTGGGGAAGGATTTCTGGTAGCAGGAACAGAGGTGACGATGATGGCTACAATAGTAATAGCTGCATTTTAGTATTTACCGTGTACAGATGCTTCCGTGGATTGTCTCAGCGGATGGCCACAACCTATCGGGTGGGTAATATTGTCTTCATTTTACACTTGAGGTTGCTGAAGCCCAGAGAGGTTGGGTAAGCTGCTCAAGGTCACACAGCTGGTCCGTCTCAAACTCCAGTCAGCGGGACTCGACAGCCCTGTCTGTGCTTGTGTCGTGGGAACCTTCCCTGTACTCCTCCTGCTGTTGCTCAATGACAGGGCCAGAGAATTCTCCCCCGCCATGTAGATGGGGAAGCGAAGGCCCAGGCAGGGAAACCACTCACAAGCTCTGGAGGAGGGAGCCAGGAGGGAGAGAGGCAGGAGAAATTCGAGTGTTGGGGTTGAACTGGTCTTGGGACAGTATTTGTGTGCCTTTCTTCACTTAACACATTTACAGAGCACCTGCTGTTATTAGTCCAAACAGCTCATGTGACCCACAGAAAACGGAGTCCCCAAAGCAAATTAAGGCCAGAGTCTGGATCAGAACCCAGGACACTGAGCCCAGGGTCTCTTTTCACTTCGCCTGAGTGGCTCCCCAAATGAATCCAAAACATGGTCATTGCCTCGGGTTTTTTATTAAGAGTTCACTTGGGCAGGTCTGGGGGCATCAGGGAGCCCCAACAAGCACCTTGGCCCCTCTGCAGCCAGCGGCCAGGGCCAGAGTCGACTCTAATCAGCACCAAGGAGAGCGGCAGGCCACTGCAGGAGGGGCCTTGGGAGTCTGGATGAGGACAATTGGTTGGGGGAGCAGAGGAGGGAATACTAAGGAAAAACTCAAGTTGAAAAGAAATATACAGCAGGTCATCTGTGGAGACCAAGAGGTCACCCTCAAAAAAAAAAAGGCCCCTTTCCTGTTTCCCTCACTGGCCTCAAGGAAGGCCAGAAGGAGCGGGGCAGGACTGGTGTGATCCCCTTCAGCTGTCCCCTTCTCGGCCCAAGGAAGCCCAGGATGTTGGAAAACCACCAGCCACCCCTCATCCCCCAGGAAAGGCTTTGCAACTGGCTGGGAGCCCCGAGGGGGGTCCACCAGCGTCCAGAGCAAGGAGTTAGGGAGCCGGCATCAGGCTGTGGGATCTGTGATGGGGTTGAAGAGAAGGTGGAAGATGGAAAAAGCAGTGGAGACAGATCGCCTTTCCTCACCCACAGCCAGAGGCCGGGAGCTGGGTGGTCACGAGTTATAATGACAGTAGGGACCCTGTCCTGGCCACATGCCCCATACTGGGCCTCCTGTGCACATGCCTTCTGTACAGTGGCTCCTAAGAGGCAGCCGTTGTAACCCCATTTTGCAAGTGGAATAACAGGATCGGAGAGGTTCAGTTATCTGTGCAAGAGCTACTAAGTAATGGAATAGAAACTCGGATTGATGCCTGCCTGACTCCCGGCTCAGGCGCTCTTCTGCATATGCCCTGAGGGCCTGGCCGCTCCAAAATCTGTCCAGCAAACCAGCCTCAGGGTTCAAGATCATCTAAGCCAACACCTCTCCAGTTGTAATGTGCACATGACTCCCCAGGTGCTTGCTAACACACAGATCCTGCCTCGGCAGGTGTGGGCAGGGCAGGTGTGTGTTCTTACCAGACTCCCAGGTGGTGACACTGATGTGGTGGCCCAAGAGCTACACTTTGAGGAGCACTTAATCCAGCTCTGCAGATGCAGGCATTTCCCCCCTCCCCACCTTGTGCAAAGGATAGGATCATCTTCATCTTAATCAGAACCAAGAGGTCCTTTTCCCCAGCCCCACGGTCCTCTGACCATCCTCTCCACACATCCACAAGTCACACTCAATAACGGGGCACCCTGGAGGAAACCATATCTGAGCTGCCTATTATCCATCCCTATAGCAGGCCTGCCATGCGCAGTGGGACTCAGGGCCCCTGCTGGCGCCCAGGGCTCCCAGGAAACCTGCAGCCTCCTGGCCTTTGCCAAGAGCAGATCCAAGACCTCCGTGACAGCGTCCCATCCAGTCCAGCTCCCCGCTGACCGGCTCCAGGCTGGGTCAGTTCGTGGGAGTACCCAGCGGATGCAGCCGAAGCTCAGGCTCCACAGGATCGATGTTGAAGAAGTTGACCGTGGCCCTGGCAGGTGGTGGGGGGTCCCGGGTGGTCTGTCCAGGTAGCAGCAGCTGGGCTGTGAGCTGCAGGCCCGAGGAGCCCCCGGAGCCTGAGTCGGAGTCAGAGTCTGGTGGCAGGGGCAGCGGCAGCACCTGCTGCAGGCTCAGGCCTGGCCGGGGGCCGCTGTGAGAGGTGCGCATGGATGGCGAGGCTGGGCTGGCCCCGTGCTCCTGCGGGCAGTGGAGACATGGCAGGAACCGGCCCAGGGCTCGCTTGAAGTCCCTCATGAAGAGAGGGTAGATGATGGGGTTCATGGTGCTGTTACAGTAACCCAGCCACGTGAGGACATCAAAGAGGCCAGGGGGGACGCAGTCACACACGGCCTGACGGAAAAGGGTGTGTCATGCCTGGTGTCAGAGCAGGGACGCAGACCACCCCGCCCGGCCCCGGCATGGAGGCAGACACGGGAGCACAGACACCAAATCCGCCCTCCTCCCTCCCATGTCTGGGCTGGGGTGGAGCTTGGGGCCTCCCCAGCAAGACCTGGACCCACCCCTCCCTGCACTGGCATTACCTGGGCGATGTTGGCCACAAAGAAGGGCAGCCAGGTCACAAAGAACATGCCTAGCAGGATGCCCAGTGTCAGGCTGGCCTTCAAGGCCTTCCTGCTGTGCTTGGTAGCTAGCCGCCTGCTATCAGCTGACTCCACCCCCTGGTGTGGGGTCCTGGGCACCTGCAGAAAAGAAAAGCACATGAGAAAGCTCCCCAGTCTGACCCTGATCCCAGCCACAGACTGAGCCTCAGGCCTAATTCTAGACTGAGCCCTGGTTCTATCAATAAACTGAGCTCTGACCCTTGACTGGCCCCAACTCTGGTCCTAGAGGCCTGACCCTGACTCCAGACCGAACCTTGACCCTGGCTCCCGACCAGACCCTGACATCAGCTGTAAACTAAGCGGTGTGCGTGGTCTCAGGCAGCCTGATACTGCCAGACACGGAGTCCCATGTACTCACGGTCTCAAACTAAGCCTCCAGCCTGGACCAGACTGAGCCTAAACTCAGCCCCAGACTGAGCCGTGATCCTATACCAGCCCTGGCCTTGCCCCAACAGTTCGCAAGGAGCTGGAGGGAGTGCAACGAGACGGAGCAGCACTGCCCCAATCACGAGGCAGGCCCTGTCCTCCCAGCCAAGGACAACACTCAACACAGGACAACACGCATGACCAGGACCCTACACCTCCCGAAGCCAGTGGTGCAATCAAACCGATCTGGACGGGAGGAGCTGCTGCTGTCCGTGTGTGACCCTCCCTTTGTGTATATGTGGATTCTTTTCATGTTTTGGAGTAATAGCTTCGCTCTCCTGCTTCACAAAATGCGGTGATCTTTGAAAATGTGTGCACATAACATGTTTGCAGTGAAGCCCATGATGTGTTAGTAGGGCTGCTGGAAACCTGGGCATATTACAGCTCGAATTACACTGTGGACTGGCCAATATCTGCTTCTAAATGTGGACTTCGAGACCAGGAGCTTGAGGAGGTGAACAGGAAAGGGGCCTCCCAGCAGCCCGGGGGAAGGAGACCCAGACAGGGGGAGGTCAGAATTCAGCTTCGCTGACGGTGAGCAGCAGTCCCAAAACACGCGTGGTTCTCTGACCCGGGTCATCCTTTATCTGAGCAGGAGGCCTCTTAACTTCCCAACCTCATGAGCCCTTTGGGAATCTCATGAAATCTACAAAACCTCTCCCCAGCGGAATAAAAACAAAAGCTTATAGATTTATATACACAGAATTCCCATGCTTCCAGAGGCTGGAAGGACCCCCTTGAGCCACCCCCACGACACCCTAGGGGGTCCGTGCAGGCTGGAATGTGAAGCCTGCCTTTAAATCATGTTTGGATTTTCATGTATCAGAATTACACCAAGACCTCCCTATCCTTACAATGTAAGTAGATACCAGTGTGCAGAGGGTGCACAATTCACAGAACTGTACAAAGGGAGTGAGTGCAATTGAGAACACAGAACACACCTGTGTTTGAAAGCCAGGACTCCCCCCACCCCCCCCCCCCCGCCCAACATTTCCTAAACTGTGTGAGAGCCCAGCTTAGTTCATGAGGCAGCCAAAGATGGGTTGGATCTGAGGAGATGAGAGTCAGGAGGCAGAAATGGAACCAGATTCCCAGGCAACCTTCACAGATGGAAAGGGGGCGGAGGAGACAAAGCCAAGAAGATGTGTCATCCGAAGGGCCACGCCCCACCCCACTGTCACGCGCAGGAGCCCCCCTGCCGGCCCTGCCCTTCTGGCCCCTCCTCAGGGCAGAACGCTGCGGTGCTGTCCGTGGTGCTGAAACCCCAGGGCAACCCCTTTCTACAGGCTCGGAGGGTCTGCTTCTGGAATGGCAGAGGGCAGCAGCAGGGGGATGACGCCCACTCTAACTCCCACCCCTGGGTGGATTTATCCAGATGAACTCTGGTTATGCGATATCAAGGACAAGTTCACACAGAGCAGCTGAGCTTTCTCTCCTCTGTCTTTTGGGGCACCACTGTGCAGAGACCAGGGCTGGGCTTCTAACACAAGTGATCTGGCTTCGAATCACGCCTCTAGCACTTACTCTGTGATCTTGAGAGAGTCTCTGTTTCCACATCTGTAAAATGGGAGAAAGAACACTCAGCTGATTGTGTGGCCGGGAGGCTGTGGATAATGGCACGCACGTGCCCCAAACAGAGTGAGCGCTGAGTGTGTGCAGCCCTACCGCTCATCAGCGGCATGTGTATGAGGTGGAGTAATGTTTGGCACCCTCTGGAGCCCTGTTCTCCTGCCAGTGGCTCGGGCTCCCCAAAGAAGCAGGGACATTGGGGCACATCTCTGACTCACCACGCGGCAGCAAGGGAAAAACAGCATCTGCTTTTCTCTTTCCTCTTCCAGCTTTCTCTCCTCCAGAGTGAACCCGATGTGGCTCTGTGCCCCGCCATAGTCAGCCCAGAGGAGAGACCCCTGCTTCCCCCCAAAGAATCTCCTAAGATCGGGCCTTCACATTGTCACCATCAAAGGGGTCGGACAACGGAGGGGAGGGGAGAGACACCATCCCCAGATAGCCCGTCCATATGGGGACCCGCCTGACTCCTGGCGGCCTGGGGAGGTGCAGATGCTCGTCCTGGTCTAACAGAGCTCTAGGGCCTGGAGAACTGAGGCACATGAGCACTGGGGATTATCACTGGGAGAGAGAGCGCCAGGAAAGAAGACAAAGGTGCTCTCAGATTCCTTCTCTAGTTTTCCTAGGGACAAGCCTGGGTTTTTCTTTCTCCGCTTCCCCCCAAAGAGTTGATCTAAGAATACAGACAAGAGGGAAGAGAGGCGGAAATAGAGGCCCAGATAAGGTAGGGGGCCTTCCCAAGGTCACCTTGTGCCACTACAAGACTCAAACCAAAGCGCCAGGCGCACAAATCAGCATCATTGTCCCCATTTACTGAGCACTTTCAACACATCAGCATGAACTATTTATTCTGCCAGGCGGTCCTTATGAGAGGTAGGTATGGCCATCATCATCCCCACTTTGCAGATGAGGTTCAGAGAGACAGAATCCCTTGCCAGGAATCACATAGCAGATAAGTGTCGAATCAAGGATCCAAAGTCATTTCTGGCTCCAGAAATTGCACTTTTCCCACTTCATCATGCTACTTCCATTGCAGGGGATGGCATCCACAGACCGCAGTCAGGATGGGGTGACAGAAACCCCACTTCTGTCACCAATAGGGCCCATGGCAACCACCAGCCCACATCCCGGAGTCTGACTGACGTCAGCCTCGCCCTTCCCACTGCTTCCTGCCCATTACCCAGGCCCCCTCGTTCTATCGTATGCACTGCAGGGGTCCCTGCCAGAGGCCAGCTGCCTGGAGGACAATTTGGCCATGTCCTCCCGGGAGACAATGCCACCTACAGAGTCCAGTGTCCATAAACACCCACTCGCATCTGCTCACTCGGCACATGCAGGAATGTGTGCCGTGACATTATGTGTGGTAGAAAGACATGGGAAGCAGCCTAAACAGCCATCAAAAGGAGATGGTTAAATAAACCAAGATGCAGCCCCACTACAGAATGCCCCACAGCCTCCCTGGTGGCCTAGGGGTTAGTCTCAGCGCTAACACTCGCTACCTACTCAGTTCGATCCCCGGCCAGGGAGCTGACCCACATGGCGCAGCAGACCTCTCCTGTCTCACCCGCTGCTCCCCTCAGCAGTGGATTTCAGTGGATCTGCCTGTTCTGCTCCCGGCTCTATCTCTGGTGAATCTCTCTCAACCTCTGCACCTCAGGCCTACACCCCAGCTCTTCTACCCAAAAATAAATAAAATCTTGGGAAAAAAAAAAAAACTTTAAAAAGAGAGAATGCACCACAGATGTCTGAAAGAATGATTGATTAAGCTCTCCAAGACAGGTTATTAAGTAATAATGACAAGTTGCAAAACAATAGATACAGTATGATTCCATTGGTCTAAAAAACACCCAAAACAAAACACTGTTTCTTTTTGGTACATAAACAAATAGGTAAACACATGGAAAAACATATCCTAAATTGATGTGTGTTCCTGGGATTGGAAGCTGATTGGACAAAAGTCAGAGGCCTCTATTGCTTTACCTCCATTGCTGAATTTTTATTTTAAGTGTCCTTATGTACTCTCCAGCGTACCTTAAAATTTTTACCATCATCTAATTAGGGTGCATGGCAGGCTCTGGAGCCAGCCTGCCTGGTTTCAAGCCATGGCTGTGACTACTCCACTGAGTGACCCTAAGCAAGGCTCTTGCCCTCTCTGTGCCTCAGCTTTCTTTCCTATAAAATGGTCAATATCACAGCATCTACCTCATTGGGACTGTAGGCCAGTTGTTGGGTTTTTTTTTTTTTTAATTTTTGCATAGAAGAACTGGGGTGTGGGACAGAGGTTTGGGGCATGAGAAGATTCACCAGAGACAGAGTGGGGAGCAGAACAGCAGATCTACTGAAGTACTGAGGGGAGCAGCAGACGAGACTGGAGAGGTCTGCTGTGCCATGTGGGTCAGCTCCCTGGCCAGGGATTGAACTCAGGTAGTAGGGGTGATAGTGCTGAGACTTAACCCGTTGGCCACCAGGGAAACCCCTGTAGGAGAGTTTAGATAGGATAATTTGCAGAAAGTTACTGGAATGGTGCCTGGCACATGGTAAGAACCACTTGCTGCTGATGTAACTGGTGCCCAGCTCAGCGCTTTGACTCAGAGATGTGGCTTTTTACCCTGAAAAGGCTCAGAGGGGTGAGCCATCAATTTTGCCATCAAGAGGAAAAGAGAGGAACTCACATTTGTTGAGCACCTACTACGTGCCCGGTTTGCATACATTATCTCTCTGACTCTTCAAATGCCCTCGTGTGATAAGCATAACTGCCCCTGGGGTAGAGGGAGGTGAACAATTTGTCTAAAGTTGTTGGGCTCTGATGGAAAACAGGCAGGATTTGAACCCATGACCAGCTGGTGCACAAACTCCTGTGACCCGCCCTGGCTGCGCCCAGCCGCCTCTTCCAAGCAGCAGCCCAAACCCCCGCTCTCAGCACGACTCCCGTCAGCTCTCCCAGCTCAGCCCCTCCTCCCCCTGCGAGATATTTCTGTGATCACAGCTCCTCTGAGGAGGAGGAAGCAGAGATGGAGGGAAGATGGATCACTCAGACAGAGTGATGCATGGTTGGGCACGGGAGGCTGGGAAAGCCTGGGGGAGGAGGAAAAGGACGAGACACTGGGGGGAGGGAGGGGAGGCAAGGATGACAGGAGGCAGAGAAATGGGGGGAGTTGGGGCTGGAGGGAGAAAGATGAGGAAGATGGCGGGCAGGGGTGATGGAGCAGAGGGTCAGGAGCCCTGGCAGAGAGAGAGCGGGGCGGTCTCCGGCTCCTGCTCTCCATCGGGCCAGGGCCCCAGCTGGCCCCTCCAGAATCCCCCAAGCTGAGCACCATCCCACCGGGCACCCACTTTCTCTCCCTCACCCCCAAACACACACACACACAAACACACACACACACACACTCCTGCCCCGGCACGATCTCTCTCGACACCCCTCACACCCCTCTCTCTCCACGCTCTGCCCACAGTGCCCCAGCAAGACCCCTTCCTCAAAGTCTGGAAGGGGCAGCTCTCCCGCCCACCTGTGTCTGTGCAAGCCTCTTCCTCGCCTTTCCTTTTTTTTTTTTGTACATAATTAACCTGCCCTTAAAAAAAAAAAGCCTGGAAGGATCCCTTCCTAGGGCAGGGAAGACCTGGTTGAAATATTGACTCTTTCAAAGCCTGTTCACATGGATGGCGGGCACAGCGGCTGGAGCGAGGTTGCTCAGCAGCCCTGTCCTCAAGCCCACCAGGCTGGGGCTTCGGGGACCTGTGCCAGCTCCCTGCTCTCCCTGGGGGGCTGGAGGCCGAGTTGGGGAAGGGAAGTAAGGGCTAAGTGGGGTTGAAAACAGGAGGAAAGGGTCCCCAAGTTTTGCTCATTCACATCAGTTCCTTTAGGTGCAGGCACTGAGAGAGCCCCTGCCCCCAGGCTGGCTGCTGCTGGTCTCTGGGGCCAACCAGCTGGGGGGGGGGGGGGGGAGGAAGCAGGGGGTTGTGGCCCAGGAGGCCAGAGAAAAGGCGGTGCCCCAGAGGCAATTTCCAACAATGCAGGCAGAAGCTCCTTAGGAGCCGAATGGTTTGGGAGGCAAAGGAAGTGGCCAGGCCTGATGCAGTGAAACCTAGAGAAACGGTTTTCCAGCGATGGAGGAGAATTAGAAAAGATGCATTTCTAGCTGGAGAGGCCCAGGGGTCATTCCTCAGGGAGGGAGCGGACTGGCCTCAAGGACCCACAGAGGCCCCCCACCCCAGTCTTTGGTTCTAGGGTTCAGAGTGAATTCTTGGCTTCAGCTTTCAAACATACGCATGACAAAGAACAGATTTTGAAGGTTCACTGGCTGAGGCGCTCTTACAGGCTCTGTAACCCTCACTGTGCTAGGGTCTCAGAGCTGAGGTCTGTCCCCTGGCTAGAACCTAGAAACCCAAAGGGCAGGCCTTTCAGGGTCTGTTCATCACGTGTCCACAGCCCAGCTCAGCTCCCCCATAAAGTAGGTACCCCGCCATGTCACCCAGCAAATGAAGTCATGCGCTGGACAGCATAGGCCCCATCAGCACAAGACCAGGTCTGAAAGGAGCAGAAGGAAAAGAAGAAATGCGGGCAGGGGAGGAGCCCCAGGCTCTGCAGAGCGCGGTGTCATTTCACGCCTCTGCCCATGCGCACTGAGACCTCAGGTGCTCAAGACACTGTTTGAGGTGCAGAAAATTGAGACAAGTCCCCGCCTTTCTAGCACGTACATTCTAGCAGGAGGAAATAAACAATAAAGAAATAAAGGGGAGGGCCTCCCCGGTGACACAGTGGTTGAGCGCTGGGTTGTGAAGCTGCCTGCGGCCTCTGTGGCGCCGGTTCGATCCCCGGCTGCTCCCCGGCCACCAGAGAAGGGTCCCACATGGCGCGCAGACCTCTCCTGCCGCCCGCTGCTCCCCTCAGCAGTGTACTTCGGTCCTTCTGCCTGCTCTGCTCCCCGCTCTGGCTCTGGTGAATTCTCTCACCCTCCCGTGCTTCTGACTGTGCCCAGTGCTTGTATAAACAATTGATTAATTAATTAATTAATTAATCTAAAAAAAGGGGGAAGTATATAATATGTCTGGAGGTATTGGGGCTGCTGAGAACACTAACTCAGGACATGGACAGGAGGGAGATGGGAAAATGGGCACTTGCTACACTTGGTAGAGTGATTAGGCAGCCCAGCAGAGGCAGAAAGTGAGGAGGGAGAGCCTTGTGGGGCGTGGGGTGTGGAGAAAGGGAACTGTAGGCAGAGGGAAGAGCAAGTGCAAAGGTCCTGTGGCAGGAGTTTTCTTGGTGTGTTCAGGGAATAGCAAATGAAACAGAGTGAGGGGCCCAGCGGGAGGGGAGATGGCCAGGGAGGGCTTAAAGGGCCAGGTGACAGGAGATGTGAGGCCGTCAGAGCAGAGGAAAAACACAACAGGACAGTGTTTTAAAGAGATCACTCTGGCTGTTGTGTGAGATGAAAACAGCCTAAGAAAGGAATCAGGAGGTCAGTGGCGATGACTCCAAGAACCCAGACAGCTGTGAAGGGCTCCGCCAGGGGCCCAGAGGGATCAATGCAGACAGAAGAGGGGAGAACCTGGACACGTTTTAAAGGTAGTGATAAGAGGTATGAGAAAGAGGGACAACCTGGCAGCCTCCAAGGTCCTGCGTGAGCAGCTGGAAGCTTGCAGCCTCCATTCATTGGTATGAGATGAGAGGGGACTGCATCTGGGGCCTGGAAAATCCTGAGTTCTCTTTGGGGCACATTGGGTGAGCCGCGCAGGCTGGGAGTCATTGGCATGTAGGTGGTATTTTCAGTCATGAGCCAAGATGAGCTCACAAAGGCCGTGGATGCAGAAACAGAACAAAGAGGTTCAAGGACTGATGCCACGGCCGGGGACCGATCAGGAGGACCCAACAGAGCACAGAGGGAAGGTCCAGCCAGGAAGCAGGGGACACGGGGTGGTGTCCCTGGGCCAGTGTTTTCAGGCCGTCACTGCCCGCCTGCTGCCCGCAGCTCATATCCATATTAGACATCAGCAGATCTGACCTTGAACCTCACTGTTGGGGGCAACAGGCAAGCTGTTCTGGGGAACTACCGACGAGGGTGTCGTCCTTTGGCTCTCAGCCAAAACCCCCTGCACCCAGTGACACCAGTGACCCCCAAAGCGCCCTGCCATCCTGCAGGAGCCTTCTCCTGAGACGACACCCAGATGAGCCTGGCTAGCCCCGCTGAGACTTTCCTTGGGGCCTGTGACCTGATCGCTGGGGCTCAAGCCTGGTCATCTAAAGCCCCATCTGCAGGGTGGACAAGAGGACTGGGGCGTCCTGTGGCCTGAGTGATGAGAGCAGCCGCTCTGCACCCCAGGGCTTTTCTCTCAGTGAAGGTATCCCACCCACAGGAATTAGTAAGCCCCTACTATGTGCAAGGGGATCAAAACCCACCCAGATCCACCAGGCCCTGGAGCTTATATTTGCGTGGGACACAGAGAATGAACAAGTTAACAAATAAAATGGAGGTTGGCATAGAGAACGGGGTGGGGTGGGGGCCGCAAGACAGAGCTCAGCCTCTGGGAAGTGGCAGCTTATCCACTCAACAAGAATCAGCAAGGGCAGCCCTGGAGGAAGGGCCTTCAGGGCACAAGGAACATCAAGTGCAAAGACCTAGGTGCAAAAGTCAGTCTGGTGCCTTCTAGAACCTTCAGAATGGTCATGTGACTGGTGCAGAGTAAAAGAAGGGGGAAAGGAGAACAGGTAAAACCGAAGGGGTTGGCAGGACTGTATCCTGAGGTCAGACCCCAATAGGCCTCCTCTTCATCTGGAGAGAGTGGGGACCACTGAAGGTGTGAAGCAAGGGAGAGCCATGATCTTTTTTTTTTTTTTTTTCCTCCAGCTCTTGTGCAGAAAATGGAGAGTGGGTCTGCAGTGGCAGCAGTGGGACTGGGCGGGACACTCTCAAAGATGGAGGTAAGACATGGTGGTGCCTGGGATTAGGACGGTGGCATTGGAGATGGCACGTGCTGAGAAGGCAGCACCCACAGACCTCACTCATGAAACAGGAGAGCAGGAAAGAGGAAAATTACTCCTACCGTTGGCATGTGATGGCATGGTAGTGCCTTTGCCATGATGGGGAAGACCAGGGAGAAGCAGGTGGGGAGAGTTGCATTCCTGCAGCATCCCGTGGACAGCTGGGCACTGAGTCTAGAGAGTTCAGAAGAAATGGCCATCGGGAGGTCGCCAGCAAGTGTATATTGTGGTGGGTACCCGTGGGCTGTTCATACCTCTCCAACCTCTCCATCCCACAAGCCTGGCTCTCCCAGCGCACCCGGGTACCTGCAGCGTCTCCAAGGCCTGGCCCGCCACGCCGGTGGTGAGGGAGGCCACCTGGACCGCCTGCTTCCGCGCAGCCAGCAGGATCCTGCAGTAGGTGAAGCAGATGGCGCCTGAGGGCAAGAAGAAGGTGAGGCCCGAGGCCACGAGGACGAAAGGGAGGCTGGCCAGCAGACGGCACTGGCCCTGGGCAGGCGCCCGCACTCGGCCCAGCTCATGCCAGCCCAGCAGCAGGGGCAGGAAGGAGGTGAGCGCCGCCAGGCTCCAGGCGCCCAGCACCAGCGCCAGGGCGCGCGCGGGCGTCATGCGCAGCTTGTAGCGCAGCGGAGAGAGGATGAGCAGATACCGGTCCAGGCTGATGAGGCAGAGGTTGAGGATGGAGGCGCTGCAGCACATCACGTCGAAGGCGGCCCAGAGCAGGCAGAGGCGGCGCGCCAGCACCCAGCGCCCGTACAGCGCGTTCAGCATGGCCGGCGGCATCACCACCAGCCCCACCATCAGGTCCGACGTGAAGAGCGACACCAAGAAGAAGTTGGACGTGTTGCGCAGGGCGGGCTGCGTGCAGATGAGCGCGATGAGCAGCGAGTTGGCCGCCGCCGTCAGCGCGATGACCACGCACATGGCGGCCGCCGCCCAGCCGCTGCCCCCGGGGCCCGACGGAGCGCGCAAGCCCCAGTCCGGGGCGGTGGCGTTGGCCGGGCCCGGCTCGGGGACCATGGGCGCGCAGGCTGGAGGCGAGGCCCGAGGGGGCTCCGGCGAGGCGGCGGGGTGGGCGGAGGTCGGGGCGAGGCCCTGCAGGAGCCGAGGCTGGACGGGCGTGGCTGGTGAGCACAGACCCCCAGCGCCGGGGGCGCGAGGTCGAGGGGCAGCGCCCCACCGGGGACGGGGAGGGGTGTGCGGGCGTCCTCGGGCGCGGGGCGGGAAGTTTGGGCGGGCAGCTCTGAGAAGCGGAGCCTCCAGGGGGGCAGGGCCGGCCGTCCGCTGGGCCGGGGCGCCCGCCTGCCGCGGAGACCCGGGCGGGTGGCGGCGGGGGACCTACAGGCGCTCTCACGCCCGGGGCGCGCTCCCCACGCCGGTAGGCAGACGGGGGCGCGGGGCGGGAGTCGCAGCGCTTGGGCGGCAGGCTGGGGGGACACGGGCGCGAGCAAAGCCCCTGGCGGGAAAGGCGGGTCTCGGAGCCGGCGCCCGGGCAGCTCCGCGCCGGGGCGCACACGGCTCCCTGCGGCCGCGGGGGGCGCGGGGCGGCCCGCGGAGGGAGGCGGAGCAGCGGCCGCGCCTCCACCCCCACCCGCCGCCCGCGCCGGGTCTCCGGCCCCGCTCCCGCCCGCACCCGGTACCTGGGCGCTCCGCGCGGCTCGGCGGCCGGGGACTGCGGCAGGCCCGGCGGGGCCGGGCGGGGGCGAGGCGGCCGCGGGCGGGCGGGCGGGGGCGGCGGGGCCGGGGCTCCGGAGCCCGGCAGGCGCCGCGAGGGGCCGGCGTGCGCAGAGGAGCCGGGGGGCGCTTCCCGGAGCGCGCGGTGCCAGCGCCGCCAGCCCGCGCCCCGCCCCCGGTGGGTGGGGAGAGCCGAGCCCGCGTCTCGCCCGCAGACGGGGTCCCGAGTACCCCAGGCCTGCGGAGAGACGATCCGAGAGCCCCCGCTGCGCCAGGTCGCCGCCTCAGCTCCGGCAGCCTCCACACCTCCGCATCCCCCTCCCCGGCTCACACGTGGCGGGGGCGCAGGAGGAACTCGGAGAGGGGGCCTGACCCACCCTTCACAGGACTGCTCCCCCGCGGACCGCAGCCCACCCGTCGCGGGGGTCACCGCACTACCTGGGGGAGCCCTTTGGGAGATATTGAGCAGGCGGGTTGACACCCGAAGATGTACACACAGGTACGTGTGTAATAATTCCTTCAAGCCTTTGAACAGCAGGCTACCTGCTCCCAGACAGAAACCATCCCATCTGGGGACAACCCAGACACGCGGGAAGAAGCCTCCGACCTGCAGGCACCCCCGGAGTCACACAGCCACCGGCCTGGGGACTCCCCAGGCCAGAAGGAGCAGAGTCACCAGCAGTACAGGAGTAGGTGTGGTCCTTCAGGATACCTGCCCCCCTGGCTAAGAAGAGCCTCCACGCGACACCTAGAAGATGTGTGTGGGTTCCAGCCATTCATTTTACAAACATTTATTGAGCACTTACTAGGTATCTGGCACCTTTGTGACCAGTCCGGTCGACTACAATAACCAAGACAGAGTCCCTACTTCTCAGAGTTTACATTCTAGTGGAAGGAGACAGTGACACTATTAACCTTACAGTAGCCATAAAATGATCATTGCTATAGAACAAAAGAAAATGTAGAGCAATATAAAGAGAATCTAGCCCAAAGGAGGTAGTCTTCCTTCCCTCTACAGAAACAGAAATATAACACCTGCTAAGTTTCAGGGGTTAATTATATTACCCCTACCCCCATAATAATACTGAGAGGGAGGTGTTAAATTGGGGCTCAGAGAGCCCTGGGCCTCACCCAAGGTCACCAGCAGCAAGTGATCAAATGGTCTGAAACTCGGGCCTGACTAATACAGAGGGAGAGAATGCTCAAGACCTTGCGGCCCCCTCAGCCTCCCCCAAGTCATTGGTAGGTGCTCAGAACACCAGTCTCGTTGGCAGATGATGCTGGAGGAAGAGGCCTATCCTCCCCCTCCCCAACTCGCATCACCTTGACAACCAAGGGACAATTCCTGCAGCACTTCAAGGAATAGGATGCCAGGCACCGGGCAGAGAATGGGAAAGACTGGACGTGGGGTCTCAGCCCCAAGACTGACCAGCACTGTTTTCTCCTCTGTGACAGTTAGCAGAGCAATACATCACCCACCTCCCAGGGTCCTGGAGGAAACGATTCCGGGGTAATCCACAAAACTTTCAGTGCCCTGTGTCGGCTAGCTGTTGGCCTCTGTGTCCCCCCCCCCCATGGGAATGCACTCAGCTCGCTAACAGTCCTTCAGCCCAGCAACAGCAAACCCGAGAGATACTACATGGAATAGACTTTGGAGTCCAGCAACCTAGGTCCATTGTCCCAGTGGTCCCAGTGGACCTAGGTTGTGAGCTTGGCAGAGTCAGATTCTCTGCTACTATGAAATTGGGGTAGGGGTAACATAAACAGGATGAGTATTTAAATGTCTGCCATCTCACACAGAGGCAGTGGCTGATAAATGTTAGCTGTATAAAAATTTAGTTGCATATATTGAGATAAAATATTAGTCCCTCTGCTTTCGATTTTGCTGTAATGTTTAATGTCCTTAGTTTTTTTTAAACCTAAAGAAAACATGACAAAAAATACTAAAAAAATACTAAAAAAATGTTAGTATTTGTTCATTCTAGGAGATAAATTCACAGATGTTACATTATGACTTGTACTTTGCTGTAATTAAAAAAAAAAATGGTAATTTTTCAAGACTGGGCCTGGGTGGTGGTGCCACCTTGTGGTCACACTACTATTTAAGACCTTTAATTTAAATTTAAGACCTTTTCAGGAGTTCCCTGTGTGTGCTTAAGTTTGTCATTTCGGTCTTGGAATAATCAAGTCCTGCACTTCCTTAACAATTCTGGGTAGAGGAGGACCTTCAAGGATGCTCAGCATTTGCCTCTAGTGACAGGATTCGTCCTTCCTGGAGGGGAAGGTTGGTGTCACATGGGGCAGCTGAGCCTTAGCAAGCCCTCTGCCCCCGACCACCATGCCTGTCAGTACATAGAGGAGCAGGGAGAGCTCCCCATTGCAGAGATGGAGAAACTGTGGCCCAGGAGATTGTGGGGTCTTCCCAAAGCAGCTCCTGCTGGAGGCCCTGAAACTACATGGGTAAACTCCATGAGGGCAGGGATCTGTCCCTTTTGTTCATTGCTGTATCCTCAGCACATACTAGCCTGTTGATAAAACATATCAACAAGACTATCAATCCAATAAACAAGACTATCAATCCAATAAACAAGACTATCAATCCAACCACCAGCATTTATGGGCCAAATAGTCATTCTCAATAATTTTAATAAAATTATCAATTTCGGGGCCTCCCTGGTGGCACAAGGGGTTAAGATGCAACCTATGAAGCTTCTGTAGCCACTGCAGCACGAGTTCGATCCCCCAGCAGGCCAGGGAGCTACCCACATGGCACAGCAGACCTTGTCTGACTCGCCCACTGCTCCCCTCAGTAGTGTATTTCAGTCAATCCACCTGTTCTGCTCCCCACTCTGTCTCTGGTGAATCCTCTCATTCCCCACACCTCTGGCCTGTACCCCAGCTTTTGTATGCATAAATAAATAAATCTTTAAAAAAAATTTCAAAGTTCACTATCTGCCAGGCACTGTTACAAGTTGCCCATGTACACAGCTTCGTGTAAACCTCACCACGAGCCTGGGAGCAGGGTAGGTAAGATCATTATTCCCCATTTTTCAGATGGGGAAACTCAGGGAGCACTTAAGTGGCTCTCTCAAGTTCACACAGGTAGGAGAGACCCAGCTAGGATGTGAATCTAGGCAGACTGAATTTTCCCAGAGGCTTGGAGCAGGGGGAGAAAATTAACTGAGAATTGTTGGCAAACCAGGTGGGGAAGCCGATGCTAATGACCCGCCCACCCCGAGATGACCTGCACTTGGCAGTGCTACCTTGCACGGATTTTAAGTCCCTCCTCCCTTGCGGTGCTGAGGGGAAATGCCGGGGGCGGGGGGCTGCAGGGTGCTTTATTCAGGGCTGTCTTGGTGGTTCCGTTCGAGCTTGGCGAGGGGAAGGGTCGGAAGTCACCGCTCACACCTCCGACCCATCGCCCAGCGGGCACTAGAGACGCTTCTTCGGGCTCTCCAGCGTGGCCCCTCCCACTCGATGCGCCCACGCCCAATCGACCAATCAGCTGCGCTGCTCCCGTGAGGCCCCGCCTCCCGTGGCCCCGCCCCATCCTTGCTGCCCCGCCCAAGCCTGGCTGCCAGCGGTGGACAGCTAGTGCCCGGCCTGTGCCCCCTTCCTCTCGGCCTCGCTGAAACCCAGCTCTGCGCAGGCAGCTCCTGGGCCATTAGTGCAGAAAGGACGAAGTCTGAACTCGGCCTGGCATTTCAGGCCGGCCTCCAGCCGCCTTCCTGCCTTCAGCCTCTTACTGTGGCTATGTATTTACACCCCGCCTAGTTCCAGAGGATGCAGGCGGCTCCTGACCGAGACTCGCTCTGCCAAGACTGTGCTGGGGCCTGAGGCCCGACACTAAGGACCCGGCAGGAGTCCTTCACTTGAACCTGATCCCTGAGTTCCCTGGACCCTGGCAACACTTTCTCTGTGCCCTGGAGTCAGCCCTCACCTGCAGACGTGCAGTGACTATGGTCCATAGGGTTGTCCTTACCAGACACGGGGTACCCGAGTCTGCATGCAGGACATAAACTTTTCCCTAAGCCAATTCCACCTTGAGGGGTGCAGGCCACCCTGGGTGGTCGCGCAGGCTGTGTCCTGCGACTTGAACAAGGGCATTCTGGACCGGAAAGCCCCCACCTGCATGACAGCACAGAGCAGACATGAAAGGAAAGATCATGTGAGTGCCACACAGCCAGCATTGCCAGAAGGGTGCTGGATTAGAATCAGGGCACTGCTGCTTCCCAGGCTGAGCAAATCACTTCCAGGTGTAATGGTCCAAGGTCTTCTCCATGCAAACTAAGAATTTTCCATGAATTCGAAGTAACAGATGCAGACCACCTGGCGTGTGGCGGTTACAGCAGTGTGTGCAAGGGGGAAGGGGCCACAGCCCTCTCCCATGACACCACCAGGCCTACCATGCCCCAGTATAGAATCTGGGGTGACCCAGCTCAATTGCACGGGGTGTCATTGTGAGGGGACAAGGCTCCAGGGCTGTCAAGCACCCAGTTAGGCAAATGGCAGTGAGAGCAAATGGCCACCACTGAGGCCAGGCTACTTGGGTACGAGGCGGGTGATGACAATTCCCAACTCTGTGGTCCTGGGCACCTTCAAAATGAGGGCAACTGCTGCCTCACAGGTTGGGGGTGAGAGCAAGGCAGGTTAATCACGTCAAGTCCTTAAGACAGCACCCCACTAGCATATTAACTGGTGACCACTGGTGGTGTCCTTTTCCTCTCCTCCTGGGCCAGGCCAGGCTGGGGTCCAGGCAAGGCCTGATGCTGAGTCCCTGTGATGGGGAAGAGTTGGCATGAGGCAAGGATAAGGGGTGCTGGGGTCAAAACCAGAAAACCTCAGCCAGACCTGGAGGCCCACCCAAATGGCAAGCAGCGGGCACCAGAGGAAGAGGTGAGGGCTAGGGATGCACAAGGAGAGGAGCGGGTGCTGATGCAGGGAGGGGCTGTGGGGCTACGTAGCCCAACCCTCCCTCCCAGGCCTACATGGGGCAGGGGAATCCACAGCCAGGTCAGCAGAGCCAGTCGGGGAGAAAGAGGACCAGGCATTGAATGAGTTTATTCATGAGAAAACTCAGGGTCCGTCAGGGAGACAATCTATTGGTTACAAGCTCCAGAAGCTCTTGTCAGAAGTCGACACCAGAGAACCCCAGGCAGGGGGCTGGCAGGGCTGGCAGGTAGTTCTGGGTGCTGAGGGGTGGCCTTCACTGCCCTCCTCTCCAGGGCCCCCACATTCCCCAAGTATTAAAGTGCAGCTGGAAGTGGGGAGGCGGGTGAGATTGGACAGCCAGAGGGCCGCCACGCAACGCAGTGAACACCGCTGCCCCCACAAGCCTGCACCCTCCCTCCTCTTAGATTCTGGGGGCACAGCCAGAATCCATCCAATCCAGGTCTCACCTTGAAACCTCTGGGGAAGGGCACCCCCTCCCAGCTATCAGGTATTCAGAAAGAGCAGCCCCAGAGGGTGAGACTGATTGGCTCTCTCAGCTCCTGAGGAGCCTAGAATTTGGGGGCGTGGGGTATAGGGATTTCAGAGAGGGAGGCAGCACTACTCTTCCGCAGTGACGGTGTGGTAGGGGGTCACCCCTGCCCACTGGTCAGGAGGGCTTCTCCCTCCCCGCCCCATCACCCCAAAGCCACAGAAACCAGAGAGGCCCAGAGCTTGGCTCCCAGCTCCAGGGCCATGAGTCAGCAGGGTCCTGCCCAGGCCTGACTCCCAGCCACGCCATCAAGGGAGGGCCACTTGGTGCCACCGGAGAGAGGCTGCCCTGGGCATGGGGAGTGGGTGGGAGGCCTTTGGGGTAGCCTATGGGGGTAGGGCTCTCTGCTTCTGCCAATGGTCTTCCTGCTGCTGGGGAGGTGCCCACCTCAGCTCAGGTCCCGGCACCACCGTCTGCACCCCCGGGGGGGCCCTGACCCACCAGGGGCTGTTGGGCCTCAGCCTGGCTCCGCCATCTTGAACGGCCTCACCCTGCCTCAGCAGCTCAGCCAACTTCCTCCCGCTGCCCAGCGCACATCATTAAGAGGCGGAAAGGAGAGAACCCCTCCGCTAAAGAGCCCTGAAGACCTCTGCTTCCTCCCTCCCCCCACTCTTGAATATATTAAATTGTGTCACTGGGTTCCCACCCCCCTTCAGATCTCCACGGCAACCAGGAAGCACTCCATGTCCAAGTCTCAATCCAAGTCCATCCAGTGCCAAGGGAGGGCTCCTGCCTCTCCCCCAACTCCTCCCCGGAGGGCGAGACCCAACGTGCCACAGGGGACGAGAGGGGAGGAAGCCTTGGGGGCCTCAGTCCTCAGCCCCCTCTTCCTCAGGGTGAGGGGCCCCCGGGGGGTCCTCAGGCTCAGGGGCCTGCCCAGCTGGGTGAGGGTGGGGATGGGGTGGGGTGGGAGCCAGGCTGGGCGGCAGGCCCGTCCTCGCCCTGCACGTAGACGCTCAGCCCCTCTGGACTCGGCTCTTTGCCACATGCCTGGCAGCTGCAGTGCACAATCTTCTCCACCAGCTTGTCCACCCTGGGTACCTCCTCGTGGCCAGGGCACTCCAAGGTCACCTGGAGAGGCAGGAGAGAAGGGCAGAGATGTTCCCAAAGGCCTGGGGCAGGCAGGTAGGCCCTAAGAGGAACACTTCCCCATGGGACCAGAAATCCCTGACACCCCAGATGCTGGAGCCCAGCAGGCCGAGAAGAAGAGGGGGCTGAGCCCCTGACCCAGCTCCTCACATCCAGTCTTGCCACATTCTGATCCATTCCTCCACAGAAGTCAGACAGCAAAATAATCCAGTATGGCCTCTTCCTACCTAAAATGCCCTCCATGCTCCACCCCACTCTGCACTTGGAGAAAAATGCCGACTCTTTATAAAGGCCACCCAGAACCCTCAGGCTGCCCCGGCTGACCTCTCCACTCCTGACCCTGTGCCACTCCCACCAGTTCAGTGCTCACTCATCCACCTGAGACTTTGCACATGCTGTTCCCTCTGCCTGGAAGGGTCTTGTCAAACCCATCCCCCTAACCTGCCCCAAACTCTGGCCAGTTAACTTCCACTCAACCTATGGGCCTGGACTCAGACATCACTTCCTTAAAGCAGACCCTCTCAGCTGAGGTTCCAGGCATGAGCCCCTTGAGCATCATGTTCTTCCCCTATTGCCATGCATCTAATAGTCCTTTCTTTTTCTTTCTCTGCCTCCACAGATCACCTGCTCAGTGCCAGCTCTGGGGACACATGACAGGCGTAGTCACTCAAGAAACTCGATCTACTAGAGGAAAGACGTCACAATAACCCAAATGCAGATGGGAAACTGATGTAACAGATCGTGAAAGCAGATGCACAGGGGGTGGGAACAGAGCCCTAAGAAAATGAGGCAGAAAAGAGCAAAAGAATGAACAGAAGCTGGGCCTCCCTGGGGGCGCAGGGGTTAAAATCAGCGCTATCAAGCTATCGCCAGCCACTGCAGCCTGAGTTCGATCCCGGCCAGGGAGCTACCCACATGGCGCAGCAGACCTCTCCTGTCTCGCCCCCTTCTCCCCTCAGCAGTGTACTTCAGTCAATCTGCCTGTTCTGCTCCCCACTCTGTCTCTGGTGAATCCTCTCATCCCCCACACCTCTGCCTTACACCCCAGTTCTATGCATAAATAAATAAAAATAAGTCTTTAAAAAAATGAATGAACAGAAGTTAACTAAGAGAGGAGGAGGAGAAAGACACTCCCAACTGGGAGAAGAGTATGTGCAAAGATCCTGTGGCAGTAAGCAGAGATGAGTGTGCGGGACTGAAAGGAGATGATCAAGTATCAAGTGTCGAGCTATAAAGAAGGTGAGGGAGGCAAGAGGATGCTAGAAAGCCCGTTGAGTCAGATCCCTCCAAAGACTTCGGTCCCATCAACAGCAATTGGAAAAGCCAAGGAAAGAATTTCAGCACATGACTGACGTCAGCAAGAGCTTCAGAAAGATCTCCTGTCCTGTGTATGTTGGTGGCACCTCTTAAGCTATACAGGAAGCAAGAGCCACATGCGTGTCTCCAGCATCAGCCTCGGTCCCTCCATGCAGAGGGGCCTTTTTGGAACCCACGCAACACCGCGGGGGCCGGGCAGGGGCGGGGCAGTACTCACAATCTCCCACATGGACTGGGCCGGCATGCAGGAGTCGCAGTGCACCAGCGACTCTGTGGACTGCGGGAAGGTGTTGGGGACGCTGTAGCTGAAGCACTGTCCTAGGCACGCCCTGCGGGGGGAGAGGTCACCACACCGTATCACTGCGGGAGGCGCAGGTGGGCAGCCCTGTCCTCTTCCTCCCTCCTGGCCCTGTCCTCCCCACACCCAGCCACTAGATCCCACCTGTTCTGGATGGACTTGGCCTCACAGCCACTGTGGCCCACGATCTGGGTGATGTTCTTGGCCTCGCACCAGGCACTCTTGTCCGGGAACAGTGCCAGCTTGTTGATGGGCGGTGGGGCGGCCAGCAGCATGGCGGGGAGGACAGCCCCCACCAGGACTCGAAGCATCGTGCCCGTGGCCTTTGGAGCCCTAGAACTGAGCAGGGACAGCAGGTGAGGCCCAGCAGGGCCCGGGAGGCTGCACAGCAGCGGCTGGTAGCGTTGGCAGCAGTGCTGACACCCAACCACGGCCCTTTACAGGCCCAGCTCTAGCACTTATGAGCCAAGCACAGACCTGGACAGCTTCGTGCTCCTCTATGAACCTCAAAAAGGGGGCTGCTGAGTATGTGCACCACTGGGTATCACGAAGAGGATAGCAATAGTACAGACACCAGAGTTAATTATTTTTAAACTTACTATTAGCTTTGAGCAAGTCATTTTTATCACTGTGACTCAGTTTCTCCACTAAACTGCGGGGATGATGCTACCATGCACAGAAAGGATTGCCGTCGTCGCTACACAAAGCTCAGCTCCCAAACACCAGCTGACCGTTGCTAGCTCCCGCCTCGCTCTGAGGTTGCAGGACCTCCAGGGAAACACAAAAAACTGCCCCCACAATGCCCGTCCTCGAGGGGCTGGTCATCCAGCATGTCCGCAGGACATGATGCCAGGGGGTCACCTGCATCTTCATATCACTGTCAATTCTTGTGCCTCCTTGCCCGGCTGGACCTCAGGAAAAAACACCACCCCCAAACCAGACAGTCTTTCTAGAATACCCCTCCAGAGCCCGAGTCCAGAGTCCACACGCACATCAGCCTCCCCAGCTCCATCCTAACCCCAGGGCCAGGCGGGAGACATCCAAGCCAAAGCTGGTCCCTCCGCAAACTCCCCTGCTTTGGAATGATGCAGCCAAGTGTGGTGATACCAGCACTTGCCAGAAGGTGGCACTGCAGGGCAGAGTGTCTGGACCATCCTCCAGAGGGTATTCTCCCAAGGTCCCCCAGCTCAGCCTTCAGGAGGTGTGGCCCACTCCCCACCTCCACATGAGTGGAGGAGGCTTCCAGGCTCCAAAGAGGTCTGGAAAGGAGGGGTAAAGCCTGCAAGAGAAGGCGCCTCTGGGGACAGGGAACTGCACTGACACCAGCTGTGGACACTGTCCTCTGGGGTCCCCACCTGTAAAATGACTGTGGTGACCAGTGGTTTGCAGGCCTGGTAGAACCTCAGAGTTCCCAGGGAACTGGCGCAGGACACGGTCTAGGGAGGGGCAGGCGTCTGCTTTCCGACTAAGCTTCCCGTGCCTTGGCTGACGAGCCTGGGACACTGTGTCCTGGGAGATCCCCGGGCGGGGCCGGGGGCTGAATGGGGAGGAGACAGGTACTGTCCTGCTGGCCCCAGTCCCCCAGCTCTACAGCCAGGCTGGCTCGGGAAACAACCTGCCACCTTCTGCTGCAAGTGATGGGAAGCTGGAGAAAGGCCCAGGGAGGGAAGGGGGTGTTGGCGCCGAGGTCCTAGGTGGGCTGGCTGGGCAGCACCTGCTGGGAAAGCTGTGACGAAATCCCTCCCAGCAAGTCCTTCAGCTCCTGCCCCGTCTCCCAGCAGAAGGTCTCAGGAAGCAGAGCCGGGTCCCACCTCACTGCTCCAGGCCCAGCATGGATGGGTGACGTGGGGAAAGCAGCGGGAGGTGAACCCAGACCTTCTGCCCCCTCCCCAAAGAGGCTGTGTCAGGACCCCACTTCAGGCCTTGCTTGCAAGATGGACAGCAACGCCCGTGTGCTCGGTACAACCACATGTAACACAACAGCACGGACATGTTCCTAACTGGCACCCGAGCTCTCCTCAAGCTGGGCACCTAAGAGGGCGCTCTCCCCTCGGGAACCTCCTCTGGCCCTGGGGATCAGTCTGACCACCGGGTCCGGCAGCAGGGTCTGAAGCAGCTCTCTGAGATCAAGAGCTCCCCGGCCCTGCCCAGGCTGGACCAACCCCTGAGTAACCTCAGAGGGGTCGGAGGACTTTTGTCCCGGAACTGACCCCATCATGACTCTTCTGGAAGATGAGGGGGCGGGCGGGCCCCAGCTCTGTTAGGGTTTGGAAGCGAGGCTGGGATTTTGCTGAACACACTCTGCTCCACTTCGGAGCTGGACTTAGGTTACAAAAGCATTGGGGCCATGGGTGAGGACCAGGCCGAGGCTGACCAGAGCTGAGATGGAGGTTTACGGGGAGATGGGACAGCAGTGAGTTTCTCGGGGAGTAGCTGGCCAGGAGGACGGGGAGCAGTTCTAAGGGCAGGTTGTGGCAGAGCAATGAGAGCCCTTTTCTTCCTCCCGTGGAGCGCGCCCCGGACGGCCAGCTCTGCCCAGAGCAGGGGCCTGAAACAGCCGAGACCCTCCTGCCCCCCACCAGGGCCTCGGGGCGGGGGCTGGGGTTACTCTCCTTCCGCAGGTGAGAAGCGTGGCCCCTGGGGTCACCTCAGCCCTCCCACCCAGGAGCCGCGCGACTTTCAGGCATAAACTGTGCCTCTTCCCTCAACCTTAAAATGGGGAGCCCAGTACTTCCCCTGGAGAAAGACTGGGAGAGTGAAGTGAAAGCCCCCAGCACCCAGCAGGCACCCAACTCGGACCAGTTCTCTTCCCCCCACCCCACCCCCCAGCCCAGAGGGATGGCGGGAAAGGCCGCCGCATCAGAGCCAACTGGGAGCTGAGCAGGGGCAGGGCAGAGGGGGCGGGGCTCGCCTGACCCACACACCTTGATGGGGACACACCCACCCACCCACCGGGCCCTGGTGACCCCTGCGCGGACGGGGGGGGGGGGGGGGGGGGGGGGGGGGCCGCGGGGGGGGGCCGGGACTCTTCACTAACTAATTTTCATTTTTGCTGGTTTTTGCCCTTTCGTTGTTTTTTGTTTGTTTTTGTTTTTAGTTTTTTTCTGTTTTTTCGTTGTTTTTTCAAGCAGCAGCAACTCAGCTAATTATTTTTTCAAAATAGCAGTCAGACCTTCCTTCCTGAGACGCGAGCGCCTCACCCAGATTCTCGTTCCTTCCTGCCGCAGAGGCCTCACGGAAGCCGTGGGGCGCCCGAGCCCTCAGGCCCGCCGACCCCTGCTCTGCCAAGTTGTCCCCAAACTAATGCTCTTCCTTGGCCGTGCGGTTCCCTGCAGCTCAGCCCGGGCCAGTGTTCACTGTGCGCCTGCAGGGGAGGCAGGGGAGCGTGAAGGCAAGAGCTGGGGCCCCAGGCCCGACAGCCACCTCGCCCACCCCTGCCTCGCTGCAGCCAGGGGGTGCCCACTGTGGTGCCCACTGTGGACAAGGCAAGGGTCTCAGCACTTCTACATGTGTTCATTTATTCAGTCTTTCTAACAACCCCGGGGGCTAGGTAGGTACTATTATGTCCCCCCCACTTTATAGATGAAGAAACTGAGGCACAGAGGTGGAGATCTCCCCCGTGGTGAACGGAACCTGACCCTGGACAGCAGAGTGGCCACCCGCTGCCCCTGCAGATGGCAGGGTTCCCAGAGGAGGGAGAAAGACCCAGAAGAGGCGGCCGGGGACGGGGTCCGTCTGGAGTTGGCAAGAACCCAGAGGCTCGCCGCCTCTGCTCAGGGAGCTGCGAATCATCCCTGGGAACTCTTGGAGGTCCAGCCCCACCGGGGGGAAGCTCTGGAGCCTGTCAGACAGAGGCCCCATCCCACTCCTGAGGCCCAGAAGCCAAGCAGGCGGCCATGACGGACCCTTCCCATAGGAACCCGGGGAAGGGTAGGGCCCTGCCTTTCTCAGACTTGAGTCCCGCTTCAAGGAGGGTGTCCTCAGCTCAGGGTGGGTGTCGCCAGACCCCCAAGCCCCAGCCCTGGCCCCAAGCCTCCTCAGAGGCCTCGTGCCAGCACCTGACCACATTCTGACAACACAGAAGGGCAGCGGGGGGGAGGTCGCCAGCTGCTGTCCCAGCGCTGGAGAAACCGAGGTGGAGTCCAGGGAGAGACGCCAGCACCCCCTGCTCTCGGGAGCAAACAGACTGCTGTGGGGGCTTCCCAGGAGCCTGGTTCAGAAGGAGCACCAGGAAGGGCAGGGGTGAGGCAGCAAAAACACGGGCTCTGGGGTCAGGCTTGTGGGGTTTGCTCTGTTTCCGCACCTGCCTGAAGCCAGCCCCGTTCCTGAGAGGAGGCCGAAAGCTGAGATGCCCCGGCCCCTGTCCTGGATTTCCTGACCCCGTGCGCGGTCTGGGGTGCAGCCCTGGCATCTGCACGTGCTCCCATACAATTCTAAACCCCAGCCAGGTCAGGAACTATGCCCCCCCGCCCAACCCGGGGGGGGCGCGTCTCTTATAATATCACTGCTGACAGGCCTCACCCCCACCCCCACCCCACGCCCGCTTGGATTCTGGTGGAGGGGGGGAGTCAAGACTCACCTTCACCTGGAGGGACCTGTGACCTCCCGCCCATCCCCACCCCCAGCTACCGAAACCCTCTGCAGGCACAAGAGCCAGCTCTGTATGGCAGAGAGCAGTCAGGCCTCAGTCCCTTCTGGGTAAATCTGAATATTCAGTCGGCGAAGGTCAGGAGCCCCGTCTCTCTAGTCTCTGTCTCTGTCACACACACACTCACACACACACACCAGCTGTGTGGGAGCTGCCACAGGACAGGGCTGGCAGCCCTGGGTAGACAGGCAGCCGCTCCCCAACCCCAACTTCCCGCCGGCACCTTTCCCACTCACAGCCCCGACATTGCCACCTGTGGGCTCCGCATGCGGGGAACAGAGCCATTCACACAGAAAGCACATGGGGTGTGGGGGCGTCTCTCCAAAGTATCAGGCTGGATGCTCCCTGGCCCCACTTGAGCCTTTCCGTGCCTCTGTTTCCTCATCTGCAAAGCGGGGCGGGTGGCAACAGCACCTCGCAGGGCCCCTGCGGGAATGAGCACGTGGCCAGCTCTGCAGTGGGCGCCTGTCCCGGGCAGGTCCCGGGTGGATGTCACTGGCGCCGGCTGGCGTGGAGTCACCCGGGCTGCTCACCCTCCCTGAACTCTGCCCACGCCCAGCTCCTCCCCCCACCCCCCCACAGCGCGCTGGGTGGGTCCTGAGAACGTGGCAGCCCGGGTTTGCATCTGACCCCATGAAACTGGATTGCGAGGCAACCTCGAGGGAAACCCAAACAACTGAGGTGGTGGCTGGGGAGGGGCTTTGAAACTGCGTGCCGCCCAGCACTGCACGCTGGCTGGCAAGGTGGCAGCTATGTTTCCACCCCAACTCCAACTGGACCAGTGCCGGTGGAAGGGACAGAGTCCTGGAGAGATCGCCAACCCCCCCCCCCCCCCCAGGAATCAACTTCCAGAAACCAGGCCGGCCTGGTACACAGGGTGGGGGATCGTGGCCGCAGCCTGGGCTTGGGGATCAGCAAGGGTGGGGCATCACTGCAGACCTTGGAACGCGCAGGCTTCCTTGGTGGTGCAGCTGACAAGGTGGCTGCGGGAGGGGGCAGGGCAGTGTAGAGCCCAGGCCCGGCACTCCATGGGGTGGGCTTCCTCAGCTCACTCTGGGGCCACAGGGCGAGTTCCGGCCCAAGCTCATCCACTGACTCACCGTGTGGCTGGAGGCAGGAGACGCTGATGGTCACAGATGGAGCCGCTGACCGCTTGCCTCACCTTCCTAAGCCTCGGGTTAAATGAGTGTGGCCTGGGTACGCCCATTTTCACAGAGCCCTTCAAGGGGGGTCTGGCTCCAGCCAGGATCTTGAGGCCTCTGTGATTCCAAGACCCCAGGCTCATCACCAGGCAGCTTCCTTTAAAGGCCAGTTCTCCACAAAATACTCAAACAGGCTTTTTTTCAAGGTGTCCAGAGCTGGCCTTTTCTAACACCCGGCACCAGGGCATGTGGGCTTCAAGAGAATCTGGTGCCATACCCGTCAAGGAGGAAGCCTACCCAGGCTTAGGGTCATCTGAGAAACCCCTTTCTATCACAGAGAGCTGGCAGGGCATCTGGTTTGGCGATGAGTCACCCTGTCCCTGTCATGTGAGGCCCCCTCCCTTCCTCCTCCCTCCAGGCCCCTGTCCCATTCCTTAGCTCAGCTACAAACCCTCGCTGCAGAGCTGACAGCCTGTAGATTCTCCATGCGTATGTAATTAAATTTGGTCTTTTTCTCCTACTAATCTGTCTGAAGTTAATTTGCTTGCTCAACCAGCCCTAGAGAACCCACGGAGCGGAGGAATTTTCTCCCGTGCCCCTACACCTTCTCTCTGTCAGCACCAGCAGAGCATGAGCCTGCTGTCCAGGCCAACAGGGTCCAGTCTGTGCCGAAAGGCCTGCCTGCCCTGCCCTGCCCTCCTGGCTACAGCCTCTAACCCAGGCCCCGGCCCTCCCGCCCACAGACCCTCCTACCCACAGACCCAAAACTCTCCCAAACAACTCCATGCTGATGTGCGCCGCACGCCAGGCCTACAACATCTGCTCAGCAGAAGTGCCACTGCAGCCCTCACCAGAGTCCCTGCCCACTAGGGCAGCCTCTGGCCCTGGGCATTGGGGGTGGGGAGGAGCTAAACTCCTTCTGAAATTTCACTTTTTAAGAATGAGGGCATCGCTGGGAATCAGGCACACCGTCTATATCCTCCCCGCCCTGCCGCCATCCCTCCAAGTCTCATCCCTCCAACATGCAGGGCCCGGAGAAAGCGGTCCAGCTAGCAAGGCTGGGGGGAGAGGGGTGGGGGTCACCAAGGAGACACTCCAGCCTCGCCTTTTCTTTGGCCCTACGGAAAGGCAAACCACACCCAAGCAGCCCCAGCATCTGGGGGAGTTTCAGGCAGCGGGTGGTTTCGGAGTAACAAAGGGCCAGGGGCTCCTGGCTGACAAATTGCTTCCCCACCCCTAGCCCCGCCAGCGCCCAGCCTCTGGCCTCCGGCCCTGACCTCTTGTTTTCCTGAGGCTTCCCTGGTTACAGGCTGGTGTCCTCCAGCTGGGTGAGGGCCTCAGGAAGCCTGAAAATGTGCCCTTCTCCTCTGGTGCCCGCCAAGCCTCCGGCCACGCCAAGGCAGGCAGCTGCCCCTTCACTGCGGCTTGTAAAAGATCAGGATCGCCCCGCCCAGGGAGCGGGCGGGCAGGTGGCCGGCAGCGGGGCCTGCAGCCCAGGCCGCCTCGTGGGGGTGGAATTCTTAAGAAAACTGAGGCCCCGGAAAGGCTGGCTCCCCGGGCCCCCGACTCAGTTCCAGGGGGATGACCCAGGCCAGGCCCCGGGGGCAGGCAGAGGGGGGGCTGCGGCCGCCTCGGGGGTCTAGGAAAGCGTTCATGACCCCACCGGGGCCGAGCCTCCGACACCAGGGGACTGTCTGAATTTGAGGGGGGTCGGGGGACGCACAGACCCCGAGACTCCCGCAGAGGGGCAGAGCCGGAGGCAGAGAGGAAACATCGGCAGAGACGAGCCCGGGGAAGCTGAAAACGGAGGCAAACGGGGAGAAACAGAAAGAAAGAGAGAGAACCAGAGAAAGTGGGCGACCGGGACGGACGGACGGGCGGACAGACAGAGAGACAGCCGCGGAGGCAGAAAGACCGAGAGACAAAAAGGCCGGCGGCGGGGCTCGGGAGCGGAGGGCGCGCGGCGCAGCGCGGAGAGGCCCGGGCAGAGCCGGGGGACGCGCCCGCCCGCCCGCGAGCCCCCCGCGCCCCGCGCCGCCCGCCGAGCCCCCCGCGCCCCGCGCCGCCCGCCGAGCCCCCCGCGCCCCGCGCCCTCCCGCCCCCCGCGGCCGCGGAAACTCCGGCCCAGACCCGGCCCCGCGGCGAGCCTGGGCCGGGCCGAGGGCGCGGGGCGCCCCGGCCACCCCGCGCCGCGCCCACGTCCCCGGCTCCGGCGTCCCGGGCTCCCGGGGCTGGGCGGCCGCGCCTCCGCGCCGCGTCCTCGGGCTCCGGACGGGCCGGGGCGCCGCTCGCGGCCGGGGTGCGGCCACAGCCCGCGGTCGCCGGGCGCCGCGTGCCGGCCCGGCCGGGACTTACCGCGCGCGGCGGGGAGAGCGGCGCCCGCCGGGTCCTGCGGGGCGGGCGGCGGGGCGCGCGGGGGTCGGCGCGGCGCCCCCGGAGGTGCGGGCGCGGCCGGCGGGTGGCGGCGCCCCCGAGGCTGGCTGGGCTGCGCGGCGCGCCGTCTGCGGCCCGGCGGGCGCGCGGTGCGGGGGAGCGGCGAGCCGGGCGGCTCCGACGTCAGGGGTGTCTCCCTCCAAACAGGGAGGAGGCGGGGGCAGCGGAGGGAGGGACGCGAGAGCAGGAGCGGGCGGCGCGCGCGGCCGCTCCCTCCGGGCGCGCAGGAGGGGGCGCCCGGCCGCCCGGGGCCCGCGTCGCCTCTCGCCCGCGGCTCGCCCGGCTGCGGCGCGGCCCGACGGCGGGGCTGGCTCGGGGGCCCGGCCGGCGCCCCCGGGGAGGGCAGAGCGCCCCCCGCCGGGTCCCTGCGCTCCGGCTTCTCTCCCCGGCCTTCCGAGACGGGGTCCTCGGGCCGGGCCGGGCCGGGCCGGGCCGGGGGGCTGGGGCGAACATGGACGCGCGCCCTTTCCTGGGAACCTGCTCCGAGGGCGTGGCGCTCGGGGCGCCGCGGCCCGGCCCCGGGGGACTCCACACCCCGCGCTCCGGCGGCTCGCCCGGCCGGGGCGCTCCCGGGCACGCGGCCCGCCCAGGCCCGGCGCGCAGTCCTCGGCCGGCGGCCCTCGCCCGGCTCCCCTCAGCGCAGGCGTTGGGCCTAAGCTCCCAGAAAAGGGTCTGGGAGCCCCAGAAAGGCCGTTCAGAATGAGCGCCAGGAAACGGGCAGACCCTCGTCTGGCTCCCACGCAGAGGACCCGGCCCGGGCCCCCGCCGGGCCTCAGCCGCCCTCGGGGCACGCGGGTGGGTGGGGCCGTGCCTCTGGGTGCCGGTTCCCGCGAGTCCGCTGCAGCGAGGAAACAGCTTTGCCCCTGGAGATAACCCAGGAGACCGTGGCGACACTGGGTTTTGCTTCCTCTCACAGGCGTGCGTGTCCGCGTGTGCCCGGCCTGCCCGGCCTTCCCACACGCTTGCGGCCCTGCCCTGTCGCCAGGCGCTGAGCTCCTGGGTGGCCGCTCCGGGCCTGTTGATCGCTCCATGGACGCGGCCTGTCCAGGCTCTGGAACACAGCAAACGTCTCCTGCCTCCTGGCTCCAGCCTATGCTGTTCCCTCCCCTGCTTTCATCTTCAGGGAAGGCCATTCTTCAGGCACCAGACTGCAGGCCTTCCCCAGACCCGGGGACGGGGAGCACAGGCTTCCCGCTCCGCTGGAGTGACCTGGAGCACAAGCAGCATCCCTCTGTAATGCTTTCCTTCTCGGCGCATCTTTTGGCCACTAGATCAGGGCTTCTTGAGGGCAGGGGTCACCTGCTTCTTGCCCCGTTCCCAGTGCTTACGGTGGGACCAGACAGGGGGTACCATTTATTTGGCTGAAGGAATGCCTCATCCTCTGGCTTAGGTAAGTTTCTACAGGGATACCCATGATATCATCACAGCCCCACATGGGGAGCACCTCCCTGCCCCCCCCCCATTTGGAGCACTTTCCAGCAACATAATAAATGGATGAGATAAACAGATATCGGTCACCCCATTTTTTTATTATATTATTTTATCGAGGTAACGCTAGTTTATAACACTGTACATGACTTGGGGTTTTAGGGTCATACCACTCTGGATGTGTTACCACACCAGGCCCACCACCAAAGCACCCATAATCCTCCAGCATTTTACCCCGACTTTACTGGTTAAAAAAAAACTTAGAGAGAGGTTAAATAATTGGCCTAAAGTCCCATGGTAAGAGGTGACCTCCTCTGTTGGGTGACCATGGACAGAGCCTGGACTCACTGTGCAGTAGCAGTGGGCACTCAGGAAATTGTTGCCATTGAGCTGACCACCCGCATTCTCAGCGTGGACCCTGCAGGGTGGGGGCAGATGTCTGCATGTGGTGAGAACCCCTGCCAGGGCGCAGGTAGCTGGCTGCGTAGCCATCCCAAGCCACACGCTAGTGGCTGACAAAGCCTAGACTTGAACCTGGGCCTGTCGGCTCCTTTGCCAGCACACTGCGCTCCACTCAGTTGCGAAGGGTGCCACACCATGGGGACCCAGGCTGGGGGTAGGGGAACCCAGCGGGAAAGGCAGAACCTGTCGCGTCAGGGCCTTGGAGCTCACGGAGATGCACCTGGTTGGCAGCGGTGCGCCAGCTGCCCCGACAGGCCTGGCTGGCACTGGGCACGGGCCTGAAGCCAAAGCCTGCTGGCTCCGGGCCAGCCTCTTGGGGCCGGGTAATGTGGGGCCCAGAGTCGGGGTAGAGGGTTGAAAACCTCTCTCTCCAGCTCATTAGCAAACATCTGGGCTCAGGAAAATGACCGACCTGGAATGTGACTGAGCTGTGGGGAGCCGCTCCCTCCCTGAGTCCCGGGAATGTGAGCTCCCTCCCGCAGGGCACCGGCGGGCCAGCTGTTTCCTCTAATCCTGTCAGCCTGGCCTCCACAGGGGTCCAAACCTCTGCACTCTCCTGGAGAAAGAGGGAAAATAAGCAAAGGGGCTTCCTTCCCTGCTCAGCCCTTGGGGTCACAGGGCCGGCACTGGGGGCCCGAGGAGAATCACAGTCCTTCCTGCCTCTGGGAGATAAAGACCAAGAGTGTCCACACTTCCCGGTTTAGAGTGGGGAGGAGCCATTGGGACTCATCCCGGGAGGTTCTGGAATTTTCCTGCTTGGGACTCTGCAAAATTATTTCATTTCTGGGCCTTGGTTTCCTTACCTGTAAAATGCAGCTGGGGATACTCTAGACCTGTGGTTGGGTCTCATTCATTTCTTGCACAAATATTTATTGTACCTTTATTATGTGTCAGACAGGCACAGAGGTGTTAGGCACACAACAATGGACTAGGGAGGCAGCGAGCCCAAGTGCGTGCATGAAAGGCTTTCTCCCGACATCCAGGTGCTAAGAAACCAAGCAAGCCCGTGGCAGATGTGATGGCAGAAGCCTCAGAAGACATCGCAAAGAAGTGAGTGATGTTAAGACCAGGATGAGGAGCCAGGACTCAAGGAGATAAATGGAGGCACAGGGCTCAGCGTGGCTTCTGGGAAATAGCACCGCCCCAGAAAGTGAGGGTTAGTCCGAGGAAGTTCCTGTGCAGCAGAGGGAGGCAGGGAGGCAGAGTCCCGGCACCCAAGCCAGGCTCAAACAGAGCTTTCTCACCTTCCTCAAGGAAGCCTCAGTTTCCTTGTCTGCAAAATAGGAATGTAACAGTCCCCCACGCAGGCTCCTGGGAGAATTCACTAGGGTGAGGACATGAGGCAGAGTCTGGCTGGGGCACACTCAGGAAGTACAGCT